TTGGCACTGAGTCCGTCCTGATCACTCGTTGGGTGACTGAGCTCCATCCAGTCTTCTTTTCTTTTTTGAAAATAATTTCTATTTGGTTCTACAGATTTAAGATTATAATCATACCACATCAAATCCACAGTTAAAAGATTCCTCCAAATCTCTGGACTTCCCACCTTCCACTCCTTGGGTTCTGTTGTTACACCTTTTCTGCTGCCTCTTTTCCTCATAAACCAAGTTTTTAGTAACTCCATTATATCCCTAGTTTTCATTACAGTGGTACCTCGGGTTACAGATGCTTCAGGTTACAGACACTTCAGGTTACAGAAATAGTGCCTCGGGTTAAGAACTTTACCTCAGGATGTAAACAGAAATCGCTCAGCGGCAGGAGGCCCCATTAGCTAAAGTGGTGCTTCAGGTTAAGAACAGCTTCAGGTTAAGAACGGACTTCCAGAACAAATTAAGTTCTTAACCCAAGGTACCACTGTACATGACAAGTGTTACTGCAGTCCTACTAGTGTTTTCAGCTGCTTACAGTGGTCTTCCAGGTAAATTATAATCCCCCCCCCCCGTTCCTTATTAAAGTTTTGGTCTTCCTGATTTCTGAGCTTCCCAATCAATTTTGCCATAATCCATCAACATGATCGGCCATTCTTCTCTGGCAGGAACTTTTATTTTCTTTCCATCTCTGGGCTAACAGCATGCATGCAGCTGTCGTCGCATACATAAGAAGTCTTTTCTGCTCCCTTTGAATTTCAGCACCTACAATTCCTAATAGAAAAGCCTCTGGGTTTTTTAAATAAAAGTTATTTTAAACATTTTTTTCAATTCATTATATATCATTTCCCAGAATGCTTTTATTACCTTACACGTCCACCACATAGGAAAAAAAGGTGCATTCTTTCTCTTTACATTTCCAGCAGATATTTATACCTGTCTTGTACATTTTTGCTAACTTACTAGGGTTAAATATCAGCGGTACATCATTTTCATGTACAGTGGTACCTCGGGTTAAGAACTTAATTCATTCTGGAGGTCCGTTCTTAACCTGAAACTGTTCTTAACCTGAGGTACCACTTTAACTAATGGGGCCTCCTGCTGCTGCCGCCACACGATTTCTGTTCTTATACTGAAGCAAAGTTCTTAACCTGAGGTACTATTTCTGGGTTAGCGGAGTCTGTAACCTGAAGCGTCTGTAACCTGAAGCGTCTGTAACCTGAAGCGTCTGTAACCTGAGATAACACTCTAATTTTCTTTCAACGTACAACATGCCAAGAATTTCAAATCTGTATTCTTTAACCTCTCCCAAGATGAGAGTTGGATATTATGTCCCAAATCCCTCATCCAGTGTATCATTACAGATTTAACCTGTTCAACCTTTGTGTGCCATTCCAAAATCTATCTTCCATCCAGTCTTGCTGCATACATTGTCCTCAGTAAGTCTGGAAGATTTAACTACTCTCACCACTTACAACCCACCTTGAATTGCATTTGGCACATCAAGGTACCTGTAAGCTATAGACCAGGGGTCGGCAACCTAAGGCCCACGGGCCGGAAGCGGCCCATGGAGGCCGTGTAACCGGCCCCCGAGCCGCCCCCGAACTGAGCCACTCGCTTGGTGAGTCCCCGCACAATGCGCTAAACCAGCACAGTGCAGCGCGGGGACTCTCTTCTGTGGCTCTGGAAATTGCTTCTGCACAGGCACAATTTTGGCGTCTGGGCATGCGCAGAAGTGATTTCCGGCACTTTGGACATGTGCAGATGTGATTTCCGGCGTCATGCTGTGCCAGCCGCGGAAGTGATCCGGCCCATGCCCGGTAAGCCTTGCTGACCCCTGCTGTAGACCCAGAGAAAATCTCGCCTCCTAGCTATGGGAGATTCCTTCTACTCAGAGTCGAGAGTGGATTTCATGCTCTTTATTCAGCTCATAGTGGTGAGGAGGAATGGAAGTTTCCCCAGAATGTCTGCTTTATATACATTATTTACACAATGGGCTCCACGTGATTGGCTAATTCCGGGATTCTCCTGTAGGCCAATCAGGTTGCGGGTTCACTTCCACCTGGAGCTGGATTGGGTGGCTCCTGTGGACTAATCAGACTGCTGCATTCTGGATCCTATTGTTCTAGGGCCAATCAGACTGCTGCATTCTGAATCCTATTATTCTAGGGCCAATCAGACTGCTGCATTCTAAATCCTATTGTTCTAGGACCAATCAGACTGCTGCATTCTGAATTCTATTGTTCTAGGACCAATCAGACTGCTGAATTCTGAATTCTATTGTTCTACGACCCATCAGACTGCTGCATTCTGAATCCTATTGTTCTAGGACCAATCAGACTGCTGCATTCTGAATCCTATTGTTCTAGGACCAATCAGACTGCTGCATTCTGAATCCTATTGTTCTAGGGCCAATCAGACTGCTGCATTCTGCATTCTATTGTTCTAGGACCAATCAGACTGCTGCATTCTGAATCCTATTGTTCTAGGGCCAATCAGACTGCTGCATTCTGCATTCTATTGTTCTAGGACCAATCAGACTGCTGCATTTTGGATCCTATTCAACTCAATACATAACACTTCAAAAGAACCAGACGACACATTTGAAGCTGACTCTGATGGTGGCCAAGAGCTGTATGAATGCTACACTCAGGTGAAATCCACAAAGCAGTCAGCAGAAGACATTCACGAGGGGTTCAAATACCAGGAAGCTGTTTTGTGCTGCTGTGAGGTCCTCCATCTTATACTCAGGTTGCATATAGCTGTTTCTTTCTTCTGCTGGTTTCCATGGCATCTTCGGGGAGGGGTAAGATGTTGCAGGTGACCTCTACCCCAGGCCCTGAAGAGGCCATGGACGTGCCAGTCAGAATAGATGGAACCGGGCTAGATGAACACGTTGCTTGATCTGGGGCTAAGGCATCTTCCATTGCATCTTCCAACCCTTGCCCTGACCCTGACCATGTATCAGTGTTCAGAGGGGAGCTGGATTTCCAGACTGAAGCCATTGCCAAACATCTTTGCCCACAAAATCTCTGCTTCTCATGACCCCCGCAGAATGGTAGTATGAACCAGCTATCACAAACGAAGCCCAAATTATGCAGTCATTCTCCTGGCACCCTCCCTGTGCTTGCTGAAGGCCAGGAAAGTGCCTTGCCAAACGTTGTTAGGAAATTTCCATTCAGTGCAAGCCCAGATGATAGCTTGATTTAGATTTCTCTGCCTGTCTCTGATTACTGGTCAGTCTAAAGACAATCTGAGCTCTCAAAAGCCCTAATACAGTGGTACCTCAGGTTAAGTACTTAATTCGTTCCGGAGATCTGTTCTTAACCTGAAACTGTTCTTAACCTGAAGCACCACTTTAGCTAATGGGGCCTCCCGCTGCTGCTGTGCCGCCGGAGCACGATTTCTGTTCTCATCCTGAAGCAAAGTTCTTAACCTGAAGCACTATTTCTGGGTTAGCGGAGTCTGTAACCTGAAGCGTATGTAACCTGATGCGTATATAACCCGAGGTACCACTTTAGAATCACAGAACTGTAGAGCTGGAAGGGACCTTGAGACGTTTCTAGTCCAGCTCTTACCACCAGAAAGTTCCTCCTGATGTTTAGCAGACTCTCCGTTCTTGTAACCTGAATTCATTGGTTCGACTCCCACCCTCCAGAGCAGGAGAAAACCAGCTTGCTCCAACTTCCATGTGACAGCCTTTCGGATATTTGAAGAAGGCTGTCATATCTCCTCTCAGTCTCTTTTTCCAGGCTAAACACACCCAGCTCCTTCAACCGTTCCTCATAAAGCTTGGTTTCCAAATCCTTCATCATCTTGGTTGCCCTCCTCTGCACACGTTCCAGCTTGTCAACATCCTAATTAAATTGTGGTGCCCAGAAATGGACACAGTACTCTGTGTGTGGTCTGACCAAGGCAGAATAGAGTGGGACTATGACTTCCCTTGATCAGGACACTAGACCTTTTGATGTAGCCTAGAATAGCATTAGCTCTTTTTGCTGCTGCATCACACTGTGGACTCATGCTAAGCTTGTGGTCCACCAAGACCCCTAGATCCTTTTCACATGTCTTGCTTGCGAGGCAGATGTTCCCCATCATAAATTTCTGCAGTTGATTATTCCTGCCTTACATTTGTCCCTGTAGAAATTCATTTTGTTAGTTTGGGCCCAATTCTCCAATCTGTTAAGGTCATCTTGAACCCTGATTCAGTCTTCTGCAGCATTAGCTACCCCTCCCATTTTGCTATCATCTGCAAATTTGATGAGCATCCCCTCAGTTCCTTTGTCCAAGTCATTTAAAAAGAGGTTGAACAACCACTCGTCACGGCACAACCACTCGTCACTAATTTCCAGGATGATAAGGAACCATTAATGAGTACTCTTTGGGTTTGGTCAGTCAACAAGCTACAAATCCACCTAAAAGTTACCTCATCCAGCCCACAATTTACCCACTTCTCTGGGTTATCATGGGGGACCTTACTGAAATCAAGATACAGTGGTACCTCGGGTTAAGTACTTAATTTGTTCTGGAGGTCTGTTCTTAACCTGAAACTGTTCTTAACCTGAAGCACCACTTTAGCTAATGGGGCCTCCCGCTGATGCTGCGCAGCCGCTGCACGATTTCTGTTCTCATCCTGAAGCAAATTTCTTAACCTGAGGTAATATTTCTGGGTTAGTAGAGTCTGTAACCTGAAGCGTATGTAACCCAAGGTACCACTGTACATTATGTCCACTGCGTCCCCCTGATCCACCAAGTTTGTAACTCTATCAAAGAAAAAAGTGAGATTTGTCTGACATGACTTGTTTTTGAAAAACCCATGCTGGGTCTTAGTAATCACAGCATCCATTTTGAAGTGTGCTCAGACTGACTGTTTAATTATCTGTTCAAGGACCCTGGTGGCAAGCAGCTGATAGAGGCAAAAGGGTTTGAGAAAGAATCTGGGAAAGAATCCAGACTGTAAATAAAATCACATTGCAACCCACAGACGAGTCACTGCCAAATTCTTGCAATTCACGGGAAGCTGGGATTGGCTCCCTGGGAAAGGAGGGTCTGGAACTGGCGTGGAACTGTCCCACTCAGGCTCTCTGGAAGTGACCAAGATTGCTATATAAATTGCCACCAGCAAGGCTGAAACATAACACAGCTCACCTTTCCTGCACAGCGCAGATTGGGACTCTGCAAAAGAAGTCAAATTCAGATCCGGAGAATCCCTCTCGACCCATCGCCATGGAAAGATACGTCTCTGCCGTCCGCAAGATGGAGCAAACAGTGATGTTTCCCAGCCTCCTCCTCGGGGTCTCCTTGGAAGACCAGGCTGAAACATTCGAGACCAACTCGAGCAACGGAGACTCCAGCGAGAGAGACCTGTATGAAGACTACACTCTGCTAAAATCCATCAAGGGGAGGGCAGAGGGTGGCTTAGCACCTCTTGACTTCCAGAATCCCAGCCTCAAGGAAGAGGAGAGCAAAGAGAAGGTTGATCTGGAAGATCTCTTCCATTACCACGTGTCCGGCTTGCACCGCGTCCTCACCCAGCTGACGAGGAGGGCCAACGCCGTAACTTCCAAATATAATGAGATCATGGGGCAGATCAACCAGAACGAAATCTCTCTCCGCTGGTGAGACACACGCCAAGGACACGAAAGGTGAGTTATTGGCTCAGCCCAGCCACCATGACTATGGGAGCCATGGTCCATAAGATCTGGTGGGAACAGCTTGGTTTTCTACAACAAACATTCTCCTTTCCCTCTATGTTTGTAGTCTCCTGTTGCTGCACTGCCTGTTAACAGAGTCAAAGAGCTTTTAAAAATATGCTTGCAGACTCTTCCTTCCTTCCTGGTTCATTTGCACAGAAGAGATTTCTTGGCCAGCTTGACTGTAACTGATGGGAGTTGTAGTCCTGAACATTTGGCGGCCACCAGGTTGGGATAGGCATTTTCTGATTTGGCAGGCCCAGAAGTGAGGGTTGGGACCTCTGCATATTCTCAGAGGTACTCTTTCTTCACTCATCTTGCATGGCTTAGCTTTGGAACACAGACTATTTATTCTATGGAAAGCTTAGAGTAGGGCTCTCAGTGGGGTTCTATCCAGACACTGTTAACAGTGTTATAGCACTGAGGGCTCACATATCTTTCTTTAGGCTCCAGGTACCCAACACGACGCCTTTCCAGTGTTGCTGAACTAGAACTCCCATCATCCTTGACCATTGGTCATGTTGACCGGGAATATGGGAGTTGTAGTACCCCAAGAACATCAGGAGAACCCCATGTTGGCTATCAGTAAAGTTCTGGGGCTGAGTCACAGGGACCCTTGTTTTAAATTATGACACAACCCACCTTGTTAACACCTTTTCCATTTTCCGTTTTACAGGACAACCTGCCTTTCTGAACCTGCACATGTATACAACTTGGGTCCTCTGTCTGAGGCTGTACAAAGAAGGCTCTCAATGGACAATCTAGAGACCTTGACTGCAGCATCTACCCCACAACGTTGTGTAGCATGGACTTTACTTGAATAAGCCAAGCACTGATATTTGTGAACGTAATTGCTATCTATATTATATTTGTGAACAAAATGGCTATCTGTACGGTATTTATGGATATCTATAAACTCCATGGCAAACGTATGCCTTGGGTTTGTTTCCATTGCTTTCTGATGTTTAAATATTGCTTTTAGTTCAGACTAATAAAGCACTTTGCATTGTTTGAAGCTGCCTAGACCATTGTTTCATCTAGTCCTGTAGTTGTCAACTACCCTGACAGGTAATGGCTCTCATCCGGAGACTTTGCCTGTTATGCTTGCTATCTGAAATCATTTTCATTAGAGATAAGCTCCGTGCCACTTCATGGCTCCTGTGAGGAAATGAAGGGCATCAGTGTCCTGGCAGGACCCACAATTCAACTTTCTCTCTTTCTCTCTCCCCCTCTGTGTTGGTTTACTGAGTCTAGGGGCCGCCATTTTCCATGGAGTGATGTCATCATAGGGGTATACATTAGAATGGCAGCTGCAAGCGAGAGCTGCTATTGGCTGTCCCTGCTAGGAGGCCCCACCCCCCACTATAGTATTTTGCTAAGGGATTCTTCCAACCTGGAACTGGCCAGGATTTCAGATAGGGATCCCTTCCCAGCCCTGGGGATACTGGGGATTGATGCTGGGACTTTTTGCATGTGAAACACACACTATACCACAGAACTGTCTTGCATCAGAAGCTGGGATAGCTCAGTCAGTAGAGCATGAGGCTCTTAATTTGAAGGTTAAGAGTCTGAGCCCCACGTTGGGCAAAATATTTCTGCATCTACAGGGGCTTGAACCAGATGTCCCTTGTGGTTCTATGATCCAGAAATTTTGGCGGACCTTCCCATAACACCAAACTGAGATTTTAGCTGAGTCCAAGAAGGAATTCTCAATCCCTGTTAGGGATTTTCCTCACCCACCGAATCTAGGATTGCCACCTTTCCCAGGTTAGGGTTCCTGCTCTTTGAAGAACAAATGACTTGTGACATACCTGCTCTTCTAGCAGGAAGAACCTAAGATGTGTATAATCATTGCTGAAGTCTCCTCTGCTCCTCTGCTCCTCTCCTCCATGGGCTACATTTGTTAATGCTGGCAGGCAGGAGCCAGTGTGGTGTAGTGGTTAAGAGCGGTAGTCTCGTAATCTGGTGAACCGGGTTCGCATCTCCACTCCTCCACATGCAGCTGCTGGGTGACCTTGGGCCAGTCACACTTCTTTGAAGTCTCTCAGCCCCACTCACCTCACAGAGTGTTTGTTGTGGGGGAGGAAGGGAAAGGAGAATGTTAGCCGCTTTGAGACTCCTTAAAGGGAGTGAAAGGCGGGATATCAAATCCAAATTCTTCTCCTCCTCTTCTTCTTCTTCACTGCTTTAAGCTGTTGCGCCAACATGTCCTCTGCAATGCTCTAAGGTCTTTCTCCCCAGTGTGCTTTTGTACATACTTTGCAGTTGCACGCACCGCCACATCATCCAAAGCTCTTGTTATAAGAAAAACTTCTCCCTTTCCCTTACGGAGTATTCCAGAGCCCATATACAGTCCTTAAGTGGGTTCCCTATCTGTAGGAGAAAACAACAGAGGCCAACCAGAGTATATTGAGAAGCAAAGCGGCTAGTAAGCCTGGTCTTTATTCAAGGAACTGCTGCAGCAGGGTCCCCACTCACCACACGCAGGAGGGAGGAGAACCCTGAACAATGGTGCGCAAGCCCTTATATAGACTCTTGAAATTGCCCACCCTGTAGCCCAAGACCACCACCCCAAAACCTCATACATACATCACAGAAGGAGGCGGGTCTACAGTAGAAATCCTGTCTGCCAGGATACCTGATAATGGTCCCTGACTGCATGACCTGGGCAGCCTGGCCATTCTTTGGTGATGGTTAATACTTTAGTTCCTGAATACAGGTCTCAGGTTCACCCGATTCATACACAAATATGCCCTCAAGACAGGATTTGCAAGCAAAAAGACGATGGGAAGGTTTTCCCCATTTGCCTCCCTTACTGCAGAGGAATATTTGAGCTCATTGGGAGAATCAAAATGGTTTCAGAATTGCTCTCCTGTGCTATTTCAGACACATGGTTAATATATTTAGATATGTGTGCATTTAAGAATTATGGAAGTATTTAAAAAGTGACCAGCACTCTGAAACACGTTCCAGGTTGAGCCACCTGGGCTCCTTCCAGGAGACACGAGGATTTATGGGACTCCGGAGCATGATGCGAAACCAGCAAAAGTCGATGTTATACAGTTATGGACAATATAATGGAGAAGCCAAAGAAACCCAAGGACCAGTGTGGCGCAGAAGTTAAAAGTATCACACTAGAACCTGAGAGACCAGGGTTCGAATCCCCGCTCAGCCACAAAGCTCACTGGGTGACCTTGGGCCTATAGGGTGTGTTAACAATTTTCATCTTTCAAATTCCCAAAACGAGGGGTGGAATTCAAACTACCTTTTTTTTTCAATTCAAAAGACATTTTGGTTAAGTTAATGTAATTTTATTTTGCGCAGTAAGCGAAACATGTGTAAGGTTCCATAGAAATGGTTAAAAACGATTGACAAGTATTTCCAGTTATGTTACATATTAATATTATTTTCATCTATTAGCATTATTATTATTCAGTATGACCTGACATTTTCAGAAGGAAAATTAAAATTCTTTGGGGGGTTCTTCACCAAATGTAGCCTTACTAAGCTAAATGTTGTCCAATCACAAGAGTAACAGCAGATTTGAATTCTGCACACCCAAAAATGTATTTTGAAGATCCCTCACTGAATAAATTTGCAAAAATTAAGTTTTACCCACTCTGAAATGATGCACCCTATTTGTCCAGTAACTCACGCTCAGCCAAACCTCCTTTGCAGCATTGCTGTGAGGATAAAATGGGGAGTTGTTCTACGTATGCCTTATCCGTGGGATATAAACATAATTAATTAGTTAATTGCTGGTATACAGAGGTACACTTTGCTTGAACATGGATGCTCGCTTTAGCTGCCAAAGACACCCATGGTCCTAAACGGCAAGAAAAAAAATTTAATAGCCATGCCTTGTGGCAGCAAATCCCATACATCAGTTACATATTCTGGGAAATAACATTATTCCCTGTTGCCTCCTTGAATCTGCTGCCAAACAGCTCCATCCAGCGATGTCAAATTCTGCTGTTATCCTGCAGCAAACTGCTCCAACCTTATGCCCCCATTGGTTTTTAATAAATCTGCACTGGCTGAGAGATGATCAACCTTCAGTCACATGCTTGGACTCAGCTAGCAGCTCCCAGGGCAGGTGACACCAACCCATGTCCCGAAACAAGAACTGATGGTACCAAAATATGTTTGTTTGCTTTGAAAGAAGCGCATGATTCCCCAAACTTGTCATGTAGCCAGGAAATAGCTACCAAAACTGGCAGCAGGTCTCAGGGCCGGATTTAGGTTTGTGGAGACCCTAAGCTACTGAAAGTAATGGGGCCCTTTATATGTCCAGCTGTCCTTTGTCAACAAATTGTCCATGTTTTTTTGTGCTGAATATATGCTATATGGTAATTTATGGACCTAACACGTATCTCAGGCCTTTTGCACATGTTGCCATGCAAACAGTCCGTGCAGAATGTAGGCACCCTATATATAGAAATGAGCAAATCAGTGATATTTTAGGGAGTGGGCTAGCAGGCGGGGCCCATGACTTACATCATAGGAGCCTACACAACACAAAACAAAACACTCTTGCTGTACGTAGGTTTTATTTTATTTGTTTTTTTATCTTATATTTTAGAAATGCACATGCAGTTTTTCCCCCTTTACGTTTTTTGGGGGCCCCCAAGAGAGTGGGACCATAAGCTATAGCTTGTTCAGCTTATATGTACAGTGGTACTTCGGGTTAAGAACTTAATTGGTTCTGGAGGTCCGTTCTTAACCTGAAACTGTTCTTTACCTGAGGTACCACTTTAACTAATGGGGCCTCCCGCTGTGCCGCCAGAGCACGATTTCTGTTCTCATCCTGAAGCAAAGTTCTTAACCCGAGGTACTATTTCTGGGTTAGCACAGTCTGTAACCTGAAGCGTCTGTAACCTGAAGCGTCTGTAACCCGAGGTACCACTGTAAATCTGGCACTGGTGGGTCTGGAACATGGGACCCCCTTGTTTGCCTGAGCAAGGAACAGAGTTAAAGGGGGAGAGATGAAAAATGCAGTATTCTGAAGCCATGCCGCTGAGCCAGGTGCATCAATGGTTCGACTCAGCATACGGCACATTCCTAGCATCCTAAAGGTTCTTAGTCTGCAGGTTTTGTTTTTGTACTAACCTTCTTGTTGTTTAGTCATTTAGTCGTGTCCGATTCTTTGTGACCCCCTGGACCAGAGCACGCCAGGCACTCCTGTCTTCCGCTGCCTCCCGCAGTTTGGTCAAACTCATGCTGGTCACTTCGAGAACACTGTCCAACCATCTCGTCCTCTGTCGTCCCCTTCTCCTTGTGCCCTCCATCTTTCCCAACATCAGGGTCTTTTCCAGGGAGTCTTCTCTTCTCATGAGGTGGCCAAAATTTTGGAGCCTCAGCTTCAGGATCTGTCCTTCCAGTGAGCACTCAGGGCTGACTTCCTTCAGAATGGATAGGTTTGATCTTCTTGCAGTCCATGGGACTCTCAAGAGTCTCCTCCAGCACCAGAATTCAAAAGCATCCATTCTTCGGTGATCAGCCTTCTTTATGGTCCAGCTCTCGCTTCCATACATCGCTACTGGGAAAACCATAGCTTTAACTATACATCACTTTGTTGGCAAGGTGATGTCTCTGCTTTTTAAGAGACATCACCTTGCTGACATCTTCTAACCTTAGAAGATGAAATAGATTGTATTGAACTCATTTAAATTTTTTAACCTTCATAATCTCACAGAAAGCAGGTAGGACAGGCTGCCGAAAAAGCTAAGCAAACAGGCTTCCAGGTCACTCCGCTCTGCTTCTTGAAAAGGCTTGTGGCACCCAAAACAAAGAGCAGTCAAAATCTGCAAATATGGGAGGTCTGTTTGAATAGGCAGCTTCAGCAGATGTGTGGTATGCAATGCTGGGTCAACATTGCATAAAACCATAAAGTTGGAGTAGGGCTTGTGGGCCACCTAAAAATTGAGTGATTTTTTTCCCCAGACCTTGGGATGAAAGGCTGCTACAAAATCCCTTAAGTAAATAAAATCTAGTCCGTTTTGAAATGTTTTAAGAGGTTCGTCTATTCTAGCAAAGACAAGGGGCTGAATAAGGAGCTTTCAGGATATGGATTCCCCTGAAACATCATGAACTGTCTGTGTAGACTGGTTGTGTTGGCTATTTATCCAAATGCATATCACGCTGCAATGTTCAGGCAACTAATATGTTCCCCAGTTGCTCCAGAGGAGTCTTCTGCAACTTGGTGCCCACATGGTTCATGATCAAGGATGATGGTAATTGTAGTGCAAAACATCTGACGGGCATGATGCTTTGCAGGTTGTACAATGGAGTTTGAAGTTTCATCGCTGACAGAAATGTGAATATGCATCTCCAGCCCAGGTCTTTTAATTGTACTGGGCAACTATACCTGGGTCTGTGAAGCAGACACACACATTGCCTTTAGCTGGACCTGCGGGGAATTTAACCTCAGACCTTATAATACAAAAGAAACATGCCCTGCCATCTCCATTACATCTCTTTGGGTGCGACATGCAAACATTCCTCTTTCCCCAGGTCTTTGGTTAATTAAACCATCTAGGGCATGGAGGGGGATATTGTTTGTCGTTGTGTTATGCATTTTTGTGTATTTATACCGTAATATTGCCCAACCTTGATGGCAGAAAGTGAGGAGGAATTAAAGAACCTTTTAATGAGGGTGAAAGAGGAGAGCGCAAAATATGGTCTGAAGCTCAACATCAAAAAAACTAAGATCATGGCCACTGGTCCCATCACCTCCTGGCAAATAGAAGGGGAAGAAATGGAGGCAGTGTGATATTTTACCTTCTTGGGCTCCATGATCACTGCAGAGGGTGACAGCAGCCACGAAATTAAAAGACGCCTGCTTCTTGGGAGAAAAGCAATGACAAACCTAGACAGCATCTTAAAAAGCAGAGACATCACCTTGCCAACAAAGGTCCGTATAGTAAAAGCTATGGTTTTCCCAGTAGTGATGTATGGAAGTGAAAGCTGGACCATAAAGAAGGCTGAGCGCCGAAGAATTGATGCTTTTGAATTATGGTGCTGGAGGAGACTCTTGAGAGTCTCATGGACTGCAAGATCAAACCTATCCATTCTGAAGGAAGTCAGCCCCGAGTGCTCACTGGAAGGACAGATCCTGAAGCTGAGGCTCCAATGCTTTGGCCACCTCATGAGAAGAGAAGATTCCCTGGAAAAGACCCTGATGTTGGGAAACAAGGAGAAGGGGACGACAAGAGGACAAGATGGTTGGATAGTGTTCTTGAAACTACCAGCATGAGTTTGACCAAACTGCGGGAGGCAGTGGAAGACAGGAGTGCCTGGCGTGCTCTGGTCCATGGGGTCACCAAGAGTCAGACACGACTAAACAGCAACAACATTGTGTAAAATGCACGGGGGGTGGGGGAATGGCACCCAAATCTAAACAAGAAGTGCAAGATTGAACAGGTGCAATGAACATTATATATTAGGGTTACCATACGTCTGGCTTTTCCCAGACATTTTTGGAATAATGCACTTGGCAGTGGTGTCCAGGTGGGAAACTGTCTTGGAAAATCAGCTCAACAACTTTGGGCAAAACTGAGAAAAACTCAACAATTATATATGCTCATTGGATTAAAGATCCACTTTATTTCCCTACAGTATTTTCAAGTATGTTACATTTTTTATTCCTACCCAACTTAAGAGTCCAGTTCTTCAGGTAGGGTATCTGTTCTTGAGGTTATATGAAAAATTTTACACAGCACTTGGGAAGACAGACGAACTAATGCCAGTGTACTGGAAGAAGCAAAGATCACCAGTGTTGAAGCGATGATTCTTCAACATCAACTCTGTTGGACTGGTCATGTTGTGTGTGGATGCCTGATTATCGTCTCCCAAAGCAACTACTCTATTCCCAGCTTAAAAATGGAAAGTGTAATGCTGGTGGTCAACAAAAAAGGTTTAGACTGTCTCAAGGCAATTTTTAAAAAAATGTAGTATAAGCACCAACAATTGGGAAACACTGGCCTGCGAGCGCTCCAGTTGGAGAACAGCCTTTACCAAAGGTGTCATAGGCTTTGAAGACACTCGAACTCAGGACGCAAGGGAGAAACGTGCTAAGAGGAAAGCACACTTGGCAAATCCACACCGTGATCGACTCCTGCCTGGAAACCAATGTCCCCACTGTGGACGGACGAGTGGATCCAGAACTGGTCTCCACAGTCACTTGTAGACTCACATGTTTATAGAAGACAATCTTGCTCAGCTATGAGTGATCGCCAAAGAAGAAGAAGAAAATGAAAATGAAAAAACTTTTTTTTAATGCCACTGAAAGCTAGCAGGGCAGCCTACCCACAAAAACGGGAAGAGGGAGAACCATGTACACCAAATTGAGTTTCTTAAGAGGAAAGATGGGATATAAACGTATTAATAAATAATATATAGTACTCCCTATGAGCCTGGAAATACCCCTCATGACTAGTAGCCATGTTAGAAATAATATAGTGTCACATCTTAGCTTGGCCCCAAAGCAGCAACTATTGCCATATCATTCAATCCCATTTGTTAATTAAACCTGATTCCAAACTACCTAAACCTGATTCCAAACTACCTTGTGACAATAAAAACACACATTACTTAGTCATAGCTTTAATGATAAGATTAAAGGTCCAAGTGTCTGAAACAAGCATTTCATCTCAACTACTGACATAGGTTATGCACATATCCCACGCTCGACAGATTACTCGTGGGATAACAAAGCAACGAGTGAGACACCAACTGCTTGCAAGGTCTTCAGCGAATTGGATGGAAATTCTCCAGAACTTCTGCCATGCGTTTCTTCTCTATCAAAAAAAAAAAGAAAGAAGAAACGCTGTTTAAAAAAGCCAGTTCGCATTACAATTAACGAGAAAAAGATTTCAGAGAAAATAAGGCAAGGACTATCCTGCCCCCAAGCAAATGCAAACCTCAAAAATCATGCAGAATGACAAAACGGACCAGGAACCCAAATTCTGCAATCAGGATCTACACAGGGAGAGCGTTGCTGGAGCAGACCTAAGGTTCATCTTGTCTGGCCCTCTTTTTGGAGACCAATCAAATGCCTCTGGGGAGAAGTTCATAGGATAGGCAGGGCATGAAGGCAATAGCTCTCCCTTATTGTTGCTTCCTCTCTAGCAACTAGCATTTAATGGCATATTCTCTCTGAACTGGGAGGTCCCACTGGGCCACCGCAACTGACCAAAGCAATGGTCTGAAGTGAGCATGTGATGCAGGGGTAGGCAACCTAAGGCCCGTGGGTCTTCTCAATCGTCTTCTCAATCCGGCCTGTGGACGGTCCGGGAATCAGCGTGTTTTTACATGACTAGAATGTGTCCTTTTATTTAAAATGCATCTCTGGCTTATTTGTGGGGCCTGCCTGGTGCTTTTACATGAGTAGAATGTGTCCTTTTAGTTAAAATGCACCTCTGGGTTATTTGTGGGGCATAGGAATTAGTTCTCCCCCCCACAATATAGTCCAGCCCACCACATGGTCTGAGGGACGGTGGACAGGTCCACAGCTGAAAAAGGTTGCTGACCCCTGATGTGATTACTTGGCAGGAGATTCAGGACAGCTTCTACACAACCAACTGCAAGTCTAGAAGTCAGGGATGCGGTTGGGACGCATAACATATGGGGCATACAGTTAAGAGCCCCGAGACAAGGCATCCAATGGAAATTTGTTCTTGCTCCTTCTCCTCCAGCTGACACATTCCTCAGCCGCTCTCTCCGCTTCTTAAAGAGGGAAAGGATTCCACACAGCCTGACTTGATGCTCTGAGGTCCAAACCGGCAATGGAGATGGCTCTGTGGTATTCTGAAGCACTAAGGCTGCATGACATCAAACATTCACATATCACAGAACTGATGGAGTGTGCCTTATCTTCTCCTGACATTCTAAGACGAGGTGTCTCAGCTATTAAAACCCTGACGGAGACATATGTGCTTAAATCCTTCAATTTCACTGAGTTTAAGTATACTTTACGTTGAACTGTGGCCTGTGCTTGCAGCTGTCACTGTGTCACTCTATTCTGCCTCCCCCCATCCTTTAAAATCAAAGAATGGTATGTCACAGTAGTATCAGCAGAAGCAGCCAGGAAGATCTGACTACTTGTAAGCAGGATAACAAAGAAAGAAAGAAAGAAAGAAAGAAAGAAAGAAAGAAAGAAAGAAAGAAAGAAAGCAAAGCCTATGTAAATCTACCTATCCTTAAAGGTTTAGCGGTTGTGCCCCCATTGCACGTGCTGCTGCGCAGGGGGACAAAGCGGGAAACAACATTCCTTCTCTGTGGTGCCACCCACCCACTCCCTGCCGACAAGGAGTTTGGTTATCTTTCTCTACGTTTTGTGTTCTGCCAGCAACTCAAAAACATTCATTCTTTATAGAAAGCTTTTCATTATGTTGCTCTTAATGTCTATATTGTGAGTGCTAGGTCTAGTTCTTTGCTCCTTTTCGTTTGATAATTTGTTGTTAATCAACTTGTCATTTTGTTTGATAATCATTGTTGTTTCGATACTTGCTTTTTATATTTTTAAGCCGCTATGAGCAACACCTGAAGGAGCGTCTCCACCCCCATCGTTCTGCCCGGACACTGAGGTCCAGCTCCGAGGACCTTCTGGAGGTTCCCTCCCTGCGAGAAGTAAGATCACAGGGAACCAGGCAGAGGGCCTTCTCGGTGGTGGCGCCTGCCCTGTGGAACGCCCTCCCTTCTGATGTAAAGGAAATAAACAACTATCTGACTTTTAGAAGACATCTGAAGGCAGCCCTGTTCAGGGAAGTTTTTAATGTTTGATGTTTTGTTGGTTTATTTATTATTATTATTATTATTATTATATTATTATTATTATTATTCTGTTGGGAGCCGCACCAAGTGGCTGGGGAAACCCAGCCAGATGGGCGGGGTATAAATAAATGATTATTAATTATTATTATTATTATTATTACTACTACTACAGCATTGTGGAGAAGAAAAGCAGAGTATAATTTATTTAGCACAACTAATACAGCCCTCAAAAACGTATGTTGTATGAACTAGCTCTGGGTTTTTTGGAAAGATGGACAGCAGAGAACTCTCTCTCTTTCACCAAAGCTGCCTTATTTCACATATTTCTGAACAGTAGCCTCACAGAACACATTCTCTCTGAGATTTGGGATCTTCCACTGCCACATTCACATACAGAAAAAATAGGGAGGTACAATTTACTCTATACAAACCACTGACAAGGGCTGGAACTCTAATGTATGGTTCACTCAAAGGGGTGTTTGTTTACTTTCCAGGGAGAGGTGGATCAGCTTTGAACACTCTAGCGTGGCTGTCTTTACTTCCCTAGAGAGGCCTTTCATACACTTTGAGAACCATGGTTAGGGGTGCGCATACAACATATACAGTATATGTGCAAGCACTGCTTTCCTACACCCCCTTGTGGCGTTTTCGTGCAGTAGAACTTGGCTGTTAAAAGCCACTTGCTTAATTGTTGAACAGCAAGAAAGACTTGCTTGTAGTGGACCTGAAAAAAGTCTTACAACTGTGTGGGGACAAGGAGGTTTAAATCTCTGCTACCGTTGTACTGATGTCACATCATATATCCATGGGAGCAACGGAGGCGCATACCCAACAGCTTATCACAAATGTACCTTTTTCCTTAAAGTCCTCAGGATGGTGCCTTATGTATTCTGAAAGTTGTCTATCCTTTAAAGCATATTCGTAATTGGCTCGCTTACAGAGGTAATAACCTAGATAGAAGCCAAGAGATGTGACCAGGACTTGGCGATGGACTCCTGGAAAAGGACAAAGAAAAAAGAGGGGGGAAATGAGGGAGAGCAGGGGTAGCAGTTTAACAGGCTGAACGGAAACCTCCATGAAGCATGCGCAGAGTTGCGTTTTCTCTTGCACCAAACCCTGAGTTGTGAGCACAAGGCAGGGCAGAGACCCCCCTGTGCACCCACCTCCACTCGAACCATAGGAACCAACTCCAAGGGGCTGAGGTGTCTTTGTCCATCCCCCCCCCATAATTAAATATTTAAGGGTGGCCGAAGTTAACGGTCACTGCCATTCAAATGGGGTTTATGTGTGTGGTTCCCCCAGTGCCGGATTTACGTATACACTAAAGAAGCTGTAGCTTAGGGCCTCACTCTCTTGGGGGCCCCCCAAAAAATTAAAGGAAAAAAAACTGGATGCACATTTCCAAAAGATAAGATAAAAAACAAATAAAATAAAACCTACATACAGCAAGAGTGTTTTGTGTTGTGTAGGCTCCTATGATGTAAGTCATGGGCCCCGCCTGCTATCCTGCTCCCTAAAATATCACTGGTTTGCTCCTTTCTATATATAGGGTGCCTACATTCTGCATGGACTGGTTGCATGGCAACCTGTGCAAATGGCTTGAGATACCTATTAGGTCCATAAATTACCATATAGCATATATTCAACACAAAAAAACAGTGACAATTTGTTGTTGACAAAGGAAAGCTGGACATATATTAATATACTTCTTAATTGTATCTCAGTTCAGCAATTACTTTTATAAAATACATATTTTGTTATGTGCAAATGCCTTTCGATACCTATGAGGTCCATAAATTACCATGTAGCATATATTCAGCACAAAAAACAGCGACAATTTGTTGTTGACAGGACAGCTGGACATATAAAGGGCCCCGTTACCTTCAGGAGCGTAGGGCCTCATCAAACTTAAACCCGGCCCTGGGTTCCCCCCACCCGCCCCAATATTTAAAGCAGGTTGGTCCCGCTGACCATGCACAGAGTGATTTCCTTGGATGCCCTTTTGCACAGCCCAGGGAGACAGTTCTTCCCCTGGGGGGAATCCCCTCAAACCCGGGCGTGCGCAGAGAGGTTTCCCCGGCACCAACCACCCCTCCCCTGAGCATGCACAGAGTGCATTTCCTCAGGAACCCTCCCTCCCTTCCCGCTGGCCTCGACCCACCCGTTCCCAGGACGGGCCTCTGTCTGATGGCGTTCTCCAGCAAGACGCTGATCCAGCCCAGGAAGCCCAGGTAGACCGAGCCCCTGTTGAACAGCCGCGGGGGCGGGATCGACCGAGCCTCGTCTGGCAGCCGGAGGTACAGCGGCGACGGCATGGCGGAGGCCGGCGACAAGGGCGCGCAGACCCAGCAGCAGCAGCGGCGCCGCTCGGGGAAGACCTGGCTTCAAGGGCAGGGGGAGGTCCGCCCCGCAACACCGTCCCCCGCGACTCCCGGCCCGCGACGCAAAGGTTCCGCGGCGCTTTGGTTCCCTCGCCTCGGAGCCAAGGGCAAGGGCGGTCCCTCAGCGACGTCTTCCCCCGCTCCGCATTGCATGCGGCCAGCGACGCGGAAGTTCCGCGGCTCTTTGGTTCCTCGCTTCCTAGCCGCCCCCCCAGGGCCGGATTTAGGTTTGATGAGGCCCTAAGCTACTGAAGGGAAAGGGGCCCTTTATATGTCCAGCTGTCCTGTCAACAACAAATTGTCGCTGTTTTTTGTGTGGAATATATGCTACATGGTAATTTATGGACCTCATAGGTATCTCAAGCCATTTGCACATAACAAAATATGTATTTAATCAAAGTAATTGCTGGACTGAAATACAGTTAACAAGTATATTAATAGCAAAACACAATTAAGAAGTATATTATAGTGAGGACGTGGCTGGCGCTGTGGGTTAAACCACAAAGCCTAGGACTTGCCAATCAGAAGGTCGGCAGTTCAAATCCCCGCAACGGGGTGAGCTCCCATTGCTCTGTCCCAGCTCCTGCCAACCTAGCAGTTCGAAAGCACGTCAAAGTGCAAGTAGATAAATAGGTACCGCTCTGGCAGGAAGGTAAACGGCATTTCCGTGCGCTGCTCTGGTTCGCCAGAAGCGGCTTAGTCATGCTGGCCACATGACCCGGAAGCTGTATGCCGACTCCCTCGGCCACTAAAGCAAGATGAGCGCCGCAACCCAAGAGTCAGCCACGACTGGACCTAATGGTCAGGGGTCCCTTTACCTTTTTTACCCCTGTAAATCCTTGAGTGTGCTTCTAATAGAGAAGTTATGGTAGCCTGTTACTTCATGAAACTGATGGTTTTGCAAGTTGCTCCCCGCCCCCCAATTGGAGCAGAAATATAGCTAATATGTGAATCACAAAGATACAGCTCAAAGCTAGAACATAAGTTGCTACATGGTGCAAATGGCTTCACGTAACACAGGTTCCCAACATGCACACTAACACAATGTAACAGAACATGATGGGAATCAGAACTTAATCAGCAGAAATTGCCAGTGCTTATTGCACATGTGTATTAAACATGAAATGAGGTGATGATGTATATGATTGGTGGAAATTGAAATGCTTTGATTGAGATTTTATAAATACCACTGCCTGGACCACCGGGCAGGGTTGAAATATTGCGGAACGATCTGACTGTAACCCATTGCTTTGCAATAAACATTGGACTCCTAACTTCTCACGTTTCTGAGTTTTATTGGCATAAACTCAGGAGATAAGCTATTTTCTGACTTACAACATTTTATGCTGTGACTCAGATCAACAACCCCTTGCAATGAAGTGGCCCATCCACCCAGGGGCGTAGCGTGGGTTGTCAGCACCCGGGGCAAGGCAAGTAATTTGCACCCCCTAACCCTAACCCCCAGATGTTGCGCCCGGTGCGGCCGGCCCCCCCCTGCACCCCCCACGCTACGCCACTGCATCCACCACAGTGTCCTATTCTCACAAAGGCCACCCAGATGCCTCATTAACTAACATTAATATTGTTACTATGTTTATTTATACCCAGCCTTTTCCCCTGGTGTGACTGGAGGTGGTTTACAGATAAAAATGATAATGGCTAAAAATTACATGCCCTCCAGCATTCTTCAGAAAATAGGGACGTTCTACTGATGTAGAATAGTATGTAAACATTGTTAGAAGTGAAACTATATACATACATAAAATCAATTACAATATTATGAGTTTGAAGTCTGCAAGCAGGTTCTGAGCACAAGAGCAGCACACTCTCCTGAGGTTCCCAGAAACTGGTAGTCAGCATTGTTAGAAACCATCACTGAAGTCAGTAATGACTTAGAATCATAGAAATGGTAGAGTTGGAAGGGACCCCAAGGGTCATCTAGTCCAACCCCCTGCAATGCAGGAATCTCAGCTAAACCATCCGCGACAGGTTACAATCTAACCTCTGCCTAAATGCCTCTAAGGAAGGAGAGTCCATCACCTGAGGCAGTCTGTTCCAAATTCGAACAGCTCTTACCATCAAAAAGTTCTTCCTGATGTAGTTGGTATTACCTTTCTTGTAACTTGAATCCATTGCTTTGGGTCTTACCCTCTGGAGCAGGAGAAAATAGCTTGCGCCATCCTCCACAACAGGCCTCTAGATACTTGAAGATGGCTATATCTCCTCTCAGTCTCCTCTTTTTCCAGGCTATACATACCCAGCTCCTTCAGCCTTTCCCCATAAGGCTTGGCTTCCAGACCTTTGATCATCTTGGTTGCCCTCCTCTGCACACATTGCCAACATCCTTCTTAAATTGTGGTGCCCAGAACCGGAAACAATATTCCAGGCGTGGTCTGACCGAGGCAGAATAGAGTGGTACAATTACAGTGGTGCCCCGCAAGACGAATGCCTCGCAAGACGGAAAACCCGCTAGACGAAAGGGGTTTCCGTTTTGGAGGTGCTTCGCAAAACGAATTTCCTATGGGCTTGCTTCGCAAGACGAAAATGTCTTGCGAGTTCCTGCGGGGTTTTTCTCCTCCCCCCCCCTTTTCCCAAGCCGCTAAACCGCTTATCAGCTGATGGCTAAGCCGCTTATCAGCTGATCTTTAAGCCGCTTATCAGCTGATCTTTAAGCCGCTTAACAGCTGATCGCTAAGCCGCTTATAAGCTGATCCGCTAAGCCCGCTAATACTGTAGCGCTAATCCGCTAAACCGCTAATGGGCTTGCTTCGCAAGACGAAAAACCCGCAAGACGAAGAGACTCGCGGAACGGATTCTTTTAGTCTTGCGAGGCACCACTGTACTTCCCTTGATCTGGACACTAGACTTCTGTTGATGCAGCTTAGAATAGCATAAGCTTTTTGCTGCTGCATCACAATGTTGTAGTTTACACCTGAGGTGGGCAGATTCCAGCCTTCTCCATTTATTTTTTTTACTTGAACCTAGTGGTCTACAAACCAAAGCAAGGTACCACTGAGCCTCTTGGGCTTGCCAACTGTAAGGTCGGCGGTTCGAATCCCCACAACGTAGTGAGCTCTTGTTGCTCTGTCCAGCTCCTGCCAACCTAGCAGTTTGAAAGCACGTCAAAGTTCAAGTAGATAAATACAGTGGGGGGGGGGAGTATTTAATCCCCTGCTAAATTTGCCCATTTGCCCTCTGATGAAGAAATGACCAGTCCATAATTTTAATGGTAGGTTTATTGTAGCTGTGAGACACAGAATAACAACAGGAAAACCCCCACAAACCCTGAAGACAAAAGTCAGAGATTGATGTGCCACTCCTGGTTAGCTTTCTTCAGTCCAGCCTAATTTAGGTGGAAAATGTTTGGTTGTTGTGAGTCAATGACCCGCAACCCGCGTAGGGTAACTAAAACACAAGGACACATGTATTTTAGGTTAATGGGCTAAAGAAGGCAAATACTTTATTGGGTACATACAGCATGAGAGTGGTATTGGCTTAGGCATTGGATCAAACAACATACCGTATTTTTCGCTCTATAGGATGCACCAGACCATAGGAGGGGGAGAACAGGGAAAAAATTTTTTTTTCTTGTTCTCCCCCTCTAAAACAAGGTGCGTTCACCCAAAGCCTCGGGAGTGCAGCGGGAGTTCCTGCTGCGCTCTGGAGGCTTCAGGTGGCTACCTTGGAAGCCTGGAGAGCAAGACTCTCCTGGTTTCAGCAAAAGGAACCCGAAGCCTTTGGAGCACAGCGCGAGGTCCTGCTGTGCTCCAAAGGCTTCAGGGATCTATGAGGCTGGGGGGGGGGGGAAGCAGCACTTCCCCCCAGCACCAGCCTCACAAGCTGCTGATGTGGGAACAGCTCCCGCTCACAACACCTCCCCTCTGGGAGGGGAGGCTTTGTGAGTCGAGGACCTACAACGGGTAAATAAGACACAAGGACACATGTATTTTAGGTTAATGGGCTAAAGGAGGCCACAACTTTATTGGTTACAGCATGTGAGTGGTATTGGCTTAGGCATTGGATCAAACAACCTATATATGACCCCACAGGACACATATTCCAATGCCTAACCACCACCTGAGCCAAAGAGGCTCGCCGCCAAATACCCTCACAGCTGCAACCAATCCCTAATGCTACTGATATTGGCCAACCACACATCATTTCCTTGATCAGACAAATGAACGCCATCGTCTCTAAACAGGGCCACCTCGCTGAATCTGATGTCAACATGCTTGATCCCATGGCTGTTAATAAAACACAATTTGCGGGCCACCACACGATTCAAGAGTTTCCCGGATTTGTCGATGGCAACGACTGCCACACCAAACTCTCCTCTTCAGAAGGGAGGACCAAAACAAGGTAGACTCCGGAAACAGAGCAGCAAGTTCGTCTAAGTCCTTTTTTACGTTCAATAACAAGTCCAAGCTCTTCCTGAAGGCCAAGTCTTTCTCCCCAGCTGAATGATCAGGATGTCAGGTGGGCCAAACGCTGCTGCTTTTGCCTTTGTAACTGGCATCAACTCCTCCCATTGCATGCCACGTCTTGAAATCCAGGAAACTCTCACACTTGCAGGCAGTCCCAGGTTGTCGCCCAAGCTGCAATCTCTGGCCCAGTGGACGATACTGTGACCGCAGATCCAAACTTGAATGTTAGAAGAAGCTGAGGGTAAGAAAACAAGGACAGGTAAGTGGTTGCGTTCTAAAAATTCTTTCATATGTACCATTTCAATGCATTCCTGATTCTATCTGTTGAGTGGCCTAAAGGGGCAGCCATTGTGGCGGCCCCAATCCTGAAAGAGTCGGCAGCATATTCCTCTGCAGGGAAACCACAGGCATCAATCGCTTTGCGCAATACTTGCATGAACTGATGCCTCTTCAAACAGGAACCATTCTCGTGTATGAGTAAAGGGCCACAGCCAGGGGGTCTAAGATATAAGTACCTCCTAGTGTCTTTTACTGGGCATGGACCCTGGTTTTCAGAAGCAGAAAGTCTGATTGGGACACCCTTTCCCTGTTGGTCAGTTTTTGACCGCTGAATGTATATTATTAACTCGGAGTTGGATAATTGTATGTCATTTAAGTGGAGGCCGCGAGAGGAGCCATCGGGTTGGGCCTCAAACAGAACCTCATCAACACTCAGGGCTCCGAAGGCGGCAATGGAGAATGCCGCGGAAAACAAACGTGCTTCATATTTTGACCAACATATTGACCTTAGTTTCTGGCGTATCAGGCAGAGGAGATCAAATGTTACCAGCTTTCTGCTCTCGCCATTTGCAAGTTGGAGTCTGCCCCAGCCCTTAATTGCTCTACGAACGATAAAATCAGCGCAAGGGTCAGCTGAGAATATAACTTTGCTAAAAAAGCTGATGGCAGCCGAATGGATTCTTAAGGTTTCTGCTGCACATCCCAAATTATGCAGGTGCGCTAGGTAGTGTAACACGTGATCAGTAGTGGGCAGGATATTGGGGGCAAGAGCTGAAACCTTGGATCTGAAATCCAGGAAATCGCACCAGGCTTTCTTATACGACCTGAGAGTAGAAGGTTCCAGTGAGGCTAATACTCCCTTGATAACTTCACATTTCCAATGCTCCAGAGGTGGTCTGAGAAAGGTTCCGGCAGCTGCTGGGCCGAAGATGCTAAGTGGAAGCAGTTCATCTGACTCCTCATCCGTATCCCGCGATCTAGACTTCTCGTAAACGTGTTTCTTCTTGGAGCGTCTCTTCCCTGCCGGCTTATCTGTTGTGGTGGGTTGTTGCTCGGCTGATGCCTGAAGCTGCACCTCCTCACCATCAGAGATCTCGGACTCAGGAAGTTGAACCCCTGGCTGAGAGCTCTGAAGAAGACTAGAAGAAGACTGAGACATAGACATGTTATCGGGTGGAACAGAAGCCAATCGACCTGTAGCATGTGTTGCTGCTGACAAGGCGCGGGACATTCGGGACCTAGCACGAGTCTGTGGAGGTTGATTAGCTGACAACATGGCCCGCGTACCTGCGCTTGCGAATTGGGATTCGTTAAATAATGACGCAGATGTGCCAGGCAGCTCACCATCGAGGGATGGGGCATCAGGCGCCGTGTCAGGAATAAAACTAGGAGAAGGGGAGGACGTTGGCAAACGGTTAGCAATACGTTGTTCAAAATCATTCATAAAACACTTGAAAGCATTAAATAATTGAGACATGGTTTTAGGATCAGAATCTTCCTTACGCGACTCCCGATTGCTTGAGGTAGGACGTTTTGCCTTAGAAGCGGGATTTTCGGCAGGAACTTTCCTCTTTGGCGCCATTGGGAAACAATTACACAGTGCTAAACAACACTATACACAGCAAAACGCAGTAGTGTGAATTATACTTCTTGTCTCTTTTTTTATTGATTGATTGGATTTTGTTATTTATTTTTATTTTTTAATTAATTTTAATTTTTTTATTATATATCTTTTATTTATTATCACTTAAGGCTAGCCCTATAAGACAGCTTTAAGGAAAAGGCAACAAAACTATGCCAGCAACAACTTAGATAAATTAGCTGCGAAAGCAAAACCAAATTACTGAGACAAAATAAAACCCTGTAAAACTGGCAAATGTGCTACAGCACACAACAGCCAGCTATCAGCAAGCCTTAATTAACCTAGTCCCAATCCCAATTTAAATACGATTAATGCAATATAATTCTAGAACCCCTAGTTAATTTAAACTCAAAACCAAGGGAAATAAATTTGCAGCTGTTACTTAGCTCGGTGTTGTTTCAAGTAAAATTGCAGCTGTTACTAGAGCTCCAAGCCGCTAGAAAATAAACTGTCGCCAAAAGATTTGTACGTAAACCTTAAAATTAAAATGAACCAAGATAAACTGTAGCCAAATCAATTCAGAATAAAGTGATCCAAAGGGAAGCAAGACGTAAGCCCCCCACCCAAGTTCAAGGCTCCGGTCCTATGACCGGCAGTGAAGCGATTAGGACTACTGGCAAGGCAACTGGAGGGCAATTAAGCAGTTTTGGATAACAAAGGACAAAATGCAGGAGCAAGTCAAACAAAAGCAGCCCCGGTGAGATGTAGGGCAAAGGGCGCTGGAGGGAAAAGCACACCCGTTCAGGCAATGTTCCTTGTTAATATTTGGAGGAAGAAGCCCCTTTGCTGAGGAAGAAAGGCCCTAGCAAATAAGAAACCCCACCAGTAAGGTTGAAAAAAGGTTGGGGGGGTGCTGAGAAAGAAAAGGGATGGGGGTGGGGGTTCGAAGCCCACCTGGCTGAATGGAGCCAGCCAATATAAAACCCCAGAGGAACCTGGAGAGCCCGGCGAACTAAAAAGGAAAACAGGCAGGCTCTCTCTTCTGAAGGGCAGGGGGGAGCCCCGGCAGGGGAAATCCCAACAAATGACGCAAGGGCTGGGTGGGTGTCCCTGTGGGGTAGGTGTGTAGGTACGTTGATATGTATAGTATAGGTAGGTATTATATAGAGTAATGTAGGTATCTTTTATGTTATGAAAATAAGGTGTGTTGTGTATGTGTATTGTGTAAATGTATTATATGTTAGGAAAATAAAAAATGGGGGGAAAGGACACAACGGCTGGACTGGGAGAAGCTAAAAACAAAGCACAAAGGGGGCGCCCCGGCAGGGGAAAGCCAAACAAATCAGTTTTTTTTTCCGCCCTCCACCCAAAGCAGCCTCCAAACGTCGAGGAGAAAAGAGAAGAGAGTTGCTGGTCAGAGGAGGAATGTAAGAAGGAAGGGAGGAGAGAGCAGCTGGCGAGGACGACGCAGAGATCTTGATCCCACGACTCCAGGAAGCAGAAAGAGGTGCGGATCTGCCGCGCGGCCGCTTGAATAAGGCTAGACTCCGCCCCCAAGCCAACCCTATTGGCTGGCTTGACGGGCGTGGCAAATGACGCAGGGGGCCGAGTACGCTCCCGCTCACACTACCTCCCCTCTGGGAGGAGAGGCTTTGCGTAACGTGGGAATCAGAAACTGCTGCAGATTAACTGCAGATCAGTCGGTAGACCTCCAGATCGTTTCTCCTTTTGCCCTAGGAGCAGTTGTCGCAGGAAACCGCCCCCCCCAATCATTCAGTTTGTACAAACTTCACACACACTCACACACTACATACGCTACGCTTGTTATAAATTCATAGAAAATCAACCATACATCGGATCTGCACTGTTCCATTTTTATTTTACTCCATGAAGGAAGGGCTACAAAATGGGGGAGGTTTGACACAGGGCAGCCATAATCCCTTGAGCATACCAGCACATACACAGGAGCCCTGCCCAGTTGCTATGCCAACCCTGATGGTCCTAGACAGAAGACCATCAAGGACACAACAAACTGCATATGTGAGTGGATTCAACACAGACTGCAACAAAGGAACAGTGATTGGGTCTCCCCTCAGGGGGCAGGAAACTGCAACTTCCCTTTTGTCTTCTGGAAGTGACTCATGGGGAGGGGGAGAAGGGGAAGCAGGTGTCAAGCTACTCAGGTTACCTCCACAACCCCTACCTTAACCTCTCCTGTTTGTGATGTAGTCATGATGTAGTTATAATGTACTTCTAGGAGTTTGGGGGATTAGTAACTAATAAAAGTTGGGGTCTTCTTTTGTTCTGGGCTTCCGTTTTGCTTCATCTTGTTGTGGGTGGGAGTCCTGTCGCGACAGTATTCAATAAAGGCCAAGCCTACAAGCTGCTGTTTTGCTCCAAGTTATCCTGGTTGGTGTCTTTGTTTTTGTCCAAGGGAGCCCTCGGATTTTCCTGTTAACACAGTGAAACAGCTGAATTGTGATGAAGTTCTTGGGACCACAATAGTTTTCCCTCCATTACATTTGTTATTTAATGGTAACATTGCAGGGGATTGAACTTCTAACTTTAAGATTCTATGATCATTGCTATTATAAAGGGTCACCATGCTTCTTTTGCACTTTCCAGCTCTAATTAAATTATTGCTCTCTGCACTTTTTGTGTTGCATTTCCCTCCCACCCAAAGCTTTCATGCCCCCCCCCTGCAATTATATTACCGTACAAGTATGCATATGTGTCTCTGTTATCTTATATCAGCACATGAAGGAAACTTGGGGGAGGGAAAAATCATTTTAATGCCAGGTTCAGACTTCCCTCAAAGGACCACAGGCTGAGAACCCTTAGCTTCATGGGAACCCAAATATCGTACATAAAAAAGGCAACGCTACAATTATTTTTACAAAAGCAATTATTGTATATTTTATTCACATCTTTCACCCCACATTTGTAACTGACAGTGCAATCCTACCCATATCTACTCAGAAGCAAGTCCCACTGAATTCAGTGGAGCTTCTGCCCAGATAAGTGAGGTTAGGCATGCAGCCTGAGTTTCTTGTCTGGAGGACAGTCTCATAATACATACAAGTAACCTTACACATTACATGTAAGGATAGACCCGTTAAACATAACCAGTGATTGCTTCAGCTCAAACTGAAAGTAAAAAAAGAAAGTCCAATTCCATTTTTAAAAACCCTCTAATTAAGCATCCTTTTGTAAACGAGGCTTCTCCTGCAACGACTGTCTTCTCTTTTCACGCTAGGAATCGCCCCTGCTTATTTAAGGGTATTTGCTCACAAATTTCTTGCTCCCACATCCTTAAAGAAACAGCAGCGATTTCTGGAGCACCCCTGCATGAACAGCACATGGCACCATGTGTGGCAGGAGCCACCACTGTCTAGCATGATTTGGAGGCTATTCTGGAGGTATCGCCGTTGACTCAGGTATGTTGTAAGCATCGCTATTCTTTCTTTCGCCTGACAGCTGGTGGTCCCGCGAAGGCAGAGATGTACAGTTTGAGCCAAGTGTATGTGACACCTACAGCACAATATACAGAGGTGAGCAATAAAGGGAGGAAAGGGAATTTGACTATCCAGGTGGTGAAAGGCATCACAATTTCACACAAGATTTCCAGAGGTATCAGCCCAATGAGGTAGATTGTTTCCAACCAATTAAGCAGAGGCCCTTCTTTTCTGCGGAGAGAGAGAAAGCAGAAAAAAAGGATTTTAATATAATCACTTCACAAATTATCACTTTGAAATAGTTACTGATATCTAAAATCAACCCCTCTTTTGCAAAGCAGAGCAAGCATGTCTTATTCTGGAGGAAATATCTAAATCGGGGATTGAGAACCAGTGACCCTCCAAATATTTTTGCTCCGCAGCTCCCATCATTCCAGACCATTGACTGATGAGCTGGAAGTCCAAAAACACAGCCAGAAGGCCACAGGTTCGCTATTCCCAGTCTAAATGCAAGAGAAGGCAAAGACTTGCTAGGCCGACAGGGAACCCCAGTCTAAAATGTGAGCAGGTTGTGGGCCCCACCTCCTAAAGACAACCAAAAGATGAACTCAGAGACATTTGCAAGCCAAGCAAGCCCTAACGGAAGCTTGCCTTTGCAAAAACATTTAGGCTGTAATCCTAACCCTACTTACCTGGGAGTAAGGGCCACTGAACCCAACAAACAACTTGTGGTTAGACACGGTAAGATTGCACCGTTGGTCATTACCTGAATATGGCCTTCAGCGAGGAGAAGCTATACACCGTGAAGAGCAGCATGAGCAAGATTTTAATAGGCAGTTCTGAAACACAACAAACAGTTGGCAGATGTTGTATATGGCCAAAACAATAGGGGGGGAAAGACTCTTTGTATTTGGCATTTATTTTGTTTAACAAAGTGCATATACCACTTGTTTAAAAAAAATGGGGACGCGGGTGGCACTGTGGGTTAAACCAGGGCCTAGGACTTGCTGATCAGAAGGTCGGCGGTTTGAATCCCCATGACGGGGTGAGCTCCCGTTGCTCGGTCCGTGCTCCTGCCAACCTAGCAGTTCGAAAGCACGTCAAAGTGCAAGTAGATAAATAGGTACTGCTCCTGCGGGAAGGTAAACGGTATTTCCGTGCGCTGCTCTGGTTCACCAGAAGCGGCTTAGTCATGCTGGCCACATGACCCGGAAGCTCCCTCGGCCAATAAAGCGAGATGAGTGCCACAACCCCAGAGTCGGTCACGACTGGACCTAATGGTCAGGGGTCCCTTTACCTTTACCTAAAATAAAAATACAACTCTCTAAGCAGTGTACAAAACGGTGGCAGCAGGCACATAAGAAGCTGCCTTATACTGAGTCTGACCACTGCCCCATCTAGTTCAGTATTTCCTATAATGACTAGCAATGGCTCTTCAGGATTTCAGATGGGGTTCTTTCCCAGCCTTACCTGGAGAAGGCGAGGATTAAACCTGAGACCTTCTCTGTGCAAAGTAGGATGCTCTACCACTGAGCCACATCACCTTCTAAGAAGAGGCACCTGCTGTTTCAGAAGTACTTACATTAAAAATAAGGCACTCCCCCACTAATCTGGGAACCCTTTTATTCAATTCAAAGGAGTTTCAGTCAATGAAAGGAAGCAGCCCTAAATGACGTATATTCTTGATGTGTCGACGGCCCTTCACGTACATCAGTAATCTTTGAAAACGAATGTGCAAGCCAGGAAATACTTTAGGCAGGTGGTGAGACATAGAAGGTACTTACCTGGAGCTGTAAACAGTAGAGGGAAAAGGGAAAGATGTCCTGTAGTGGACAGAACCAGATAGGTGCCAGCATCTCTGGATCTCTCCACAGCCAGCAAGCTAAAAACGCATACCAAAAACAGGAGATTTTTGAAAGTAGCTGTTAAGCTGTTCAAAGAGATCATTTTCTTCAAGGTCCTCCCTCACTACTGCCACCATGCTCCCGGCACAACGCTATGCATGTCTACCCAGACGTTTCACAGAGTTCAGCTCTGGTTAACCATGTGCAACAGGGGTGAGAAACTTGTAGCCTTCCCAAGGTTGTTGAATTACAGATCCCACCATGTTGGCTGGGGCTGAAGGCAATTGGGAGTCCACCTTTGCAGCAGTACCTGGGATCTTCCTGCAGCAGCAGGGGAAACAAGGAAGTCAAGTTCCAAAGCTGCTTCCTTGTTTTGCTCTTCAACTGTAAGAAGCTGCTTTATCCCTGACTTGTTTCTAAGATATCACAGAAACAGGCCCAAGATCCACAGGGAAGTCCTATGTAGCCATGGAATTTTTAAAGAGAAAATCAAATTAAGAAAACTACACTCTTTGGATTCCATTATGTCATTTGTGGTGTGATATTTGTGATATCTTGCCCAGAAAGGGGTCCAAGTGTGAAGACTGGAATTTATAAAAATGCAACCTGAACCCCTTTCCATCCCTCTTACCTCAGAGGGAGAATGGCGAGAAGGACTGCTTTCTCATGCACATGCCACCCAAACATGAAGGAGCTCAGCGCGCAGAGAACCAGGCATCGTAGAAAGCCTCTGGGCCCTTGGGGTTTAAACCAAAGACAGAAAACAGAGGGCTAGAAACAACAGGCAGAAAACAAAGCTTCAGTGGTGCATTTCAGCGCCAGGAACACAGGCTTATCATTCAGTGGGAGCTCAGCAGTTGCTAAGCTCTGCATTTTGGCAGTGGTGCCTTGGTTGTCGAACTTAATCCGTTCAACCCCGGAACTGTTCAGAAACCAAGACGCAGCTTCCGATTGGCTGCAGGAGCTTCCAAAGTTCCAAGTTCAGCTTCCAAAAAACATTCGCAAAGCGGAACACCTACTTCCGGGTTTGCGGCGTCCGGGAGCCGATTTGTTCAGTAGCCAAGCCATTCGATAACTAAGGTACCACTGCATTATTCTGCTTTGCATTGCCAGAAAGTGTTAAATTGCCTTTTTGAGATTCTAGGTACCACCTACGTTATATGCCACTGACGTGGGTCCCAAACCAAGCAACTCTGGGAATTGTAGTTTTGAGGATAATGCTGAGACAATCTTGTACCCTATACTTTTCAAGTGATGGGTGCGCCAGTGGTGCCACAACCATCTTTTAAAAAGCAAGGGTGGGAGAGGTGGAGAAAGGGTGAGAAGCAGTGAAATTTAAGAGAATCTGTAAAAACAAAATTCAGAACACTGGAAGATGACCTCATGTTTCAGATTGCAATTAATGGTGGTTCTTGGGTCTGAATATTTTGCCCCACCTAAGAACATAAGAGCAGTCTGCTCCTGATTCTTTAAAAGCAGCCTAACACAGGTGTGTGTAAATTTGAAGCTTTCCCCATCCATGTACTTCTAACCCAGGAAAAGCTTCACCTGTTGAATTTTCGCATGTCAGGCCACTGTTAAAGGCATAAAAGAAGTAAGCAAAACTAGTGGTCACTCTGTTTTTAAAGACATAATAGACTGGCAGGGACCAGAGCGGGCTGAATATTCAATGCAAGCAAGTTGGTGCTTTAACAGGGGAGCATTCATTTTAAAAGGGGAGAAATTTCTTGTGGGCTGTGCTTGCAAGCAGATGAAGATGTGCTCAGAGGGGTAGAGTGATATGGATTTACCAGCATAGAGATGGCAGTACAAGTCAAAGTTGCCAATGGAGTCACTGAAGGAAGGACGGTATGTTGAAATTCCTGGACTAGCCCTCCAGTCATGGCAGCCTTGGGCATCTTTGCAGGGTCAAGGAATTTATATTTCAGACCTGGAAGTTATAATGAAGTTTGTAAGAAGGACAGGCACGTTGTCAGCCACACCATACCCACCCTAAATATATATGGAAGCAAGTCCCACGGCTTGTTTCAACACTTGTTTACATACAGAGAATTTTTAAATTTTATTTAAAGGTTTATAAGCCATTTTTTGAGCAGATGCTCCAAAGTGTCTCATAGCACAAGTAAAAACCCAAAGCTGAATATAATATAAAATATAATTTAAAATATTATGTTTGTGCTAAAAAACAGCATTAAAACTAAAATAAAATCAGGTTTAACAGAGTCAGTTTATAATCACAACCTATATTACATAGGATTATAAAAATGTAGGGTTGTTAGGGACCCTGAAGATCATCTGCTCCAACCCCCTGCAATGCAGAATATGCAGCTGTTCTGTATAGGGATCTAACCTGCAACCTGAGCGTTATGAGTACCATGCTCTAACCAACTCCACTGAACGGGTTAAGTCTCAAAGAAAAAGCGGGTCTTCTAGGCCTATTTAAGGACTAAGGGATGAGGCTCGCTTAAGTTCAACAGCACTGAATTCTACAGTTGTGGGACCACTGCTGAGTGTCCAGCAGCCTAATTGTCGTCATGTGCAGTCATGCAAGGACACTACACAGCCCAAATGGTGTACTAAAAATGACCTTGTAGACATAGCAAAATGTCTGAGGCACACGCACATAACCAACTCCACTTTAGTAAACAGTAAGCTTCTGAGAAGATATTTAGGATGGTTTGGAAGTCATCCTCTGAGTGTGCACACACACTCATGAACGCCATTTCCAACTCCTCGAAATATTCGATGCCTCCGAAATTTTTTACACATCTCTTAGGAAGACAGGCAAACTAATGCCAGTGTAGTGGAAGAAGCAAAGATCACCAGTGCTGAAGCAATGATTCTTCAACATCAACTTCGTTGGACTGGTCATGTTGTGTGGATGACTGATGATCGTCTTCCAAAGCAACTACTCTATTCCAAACTTAAAAATGGAAAGCTTAATGCTGGTGGTCAACAAAAGAGGTTTAAAGACTCTCTCAAGGCAAATCTATAAAAATGTAGTATAAACATTGACAACTGGGAAACACTGGCCTATGAGCGCTCCAGTTGGAGAACAGCCTTTATGAAAGGTGTCACGGGTTTTGAAGACGCTTGGACTCAGGACGAAAGGGAGAAACGTGCTAAATTGAAGGCACGCTTGGCAAACCTGCACCAGGATCGACTCCCACTGTGGATCCAGAATTGGACTCCACAGTCACCCACAGACACCCCATTAAGACCGTGTTCATGGAAGCCAATCTTACTCAACTACGAGTGATCACCAAAGAAGAAGAGTAAACACAGTGGTTTAGGAGACTATAAAGATGAAGAACTTGCATGGAAATCTCCCTGCTGCTGTCGTATCCGATGACTGTCAAAGGCAAGACATTGGACTGGATATCCCACTTACCCAACCCAGTTAAACCGTCCTCAAGTTTATATATTCTTTTGCATACTTTCAAAAGATTAATAATAAAATGTAAGGAGAGGAACTGCCACTCCTTAGTGGTCAGACACAGCAGGCTTCTCCTACTGAAGATTTCTAAAAGGGAACAAGAATCACCGAACAAGTATTTGCTATTAATACATGCAGGGTTAAGATACTCTACCAATAACGGAGAGCGCTTTGTCCAGGGCATTGTACAGTGCCCAGAAGTTAGGAGCCCAGTATGCATGGCATAGGCCTCTTTTGAAAGGGAAGAGACGAGAGAGGACCTGAGGCAGCTGGCCCTAATGGAAGAAAAAGGAAGTTAGAAAGTTAGTCAAAGATTTTTCATTTATATTAAGTGACATAACAATACATTTATGATTGTGGCTTTATTGCTTTTACTGGTCATGTTGTTGCATTTTGTTAAAATAATTTTAAATGATTTAAAGCTGCTTTCAGAGCCTTTGGATAGAAAATCAGCTTATAAATCCAAGTAGAAATCACAGAGTAGCAGAGCTGGAAGGGACCACAAGGGTCAACCCCCTGCAAAGCAGGTATCTTTTTGTCCAATGTGGGGTTCAAACCCATGCTCTACAGATTGAACTATCCTGAGCCAACAGCCAAGTCAAGAATGTTCCCCACCCTCGATCAGCTTATAAAGCGTATTATTCATACATATAGTAGCTACCCTTTGTACAGTGGTACCTGAGGTTACAAACACCTCGGGTTACAAACACTTCGGGTTACAGACTCCGCTAACCTGGAAGTAGTACCTCGGGTTAAGAACTTTGCCCCAGGATGAGAACAGAAATCATGTGGCGGCGGTGCAGCCGCAGCAGGAGGCCCCATTAGCTAAAGTGGCACCTTCAGGTTAAGAACAGTTTCAGGTTAAGAACGGACCTCCGGAACGAATTACTGTAAGTTCGTAACCAGAGGTACCACTGTACTTCCAGTTATATTACATATTAATATTCTTTTTATTTATTAGAATTATTGTTATTTAGCATGACCAGACATTTTCAGAAGGTAAAATTAAAATTCTTTGGTTCCCCCCATAAAAAGCAGTTTATGTGCTTTTTCACCAAATGTAGACTTACTGAGCTAAATGGGAACAATTAGTAAAGAACGTCTTGCATACAGTCATCACTCAGGAAGCAGGTGCATGTTTTAAAGAGGATCAGGGTCCTTACCCAAACAATAAATGGTCCCAGTGAAAGCACAGAAACAAAGCAGACAATGAATCCCAGGGCAACTAAGCGAAGAAAACTGAAACTGCCCCATCGGAGGGATCCATCTGGAGAAAACGAAAATATTATGATTAAAACAAAAGGGTGTGTGTGAAAGAAACAAGAAATGCTTCGGCAGTGTCTTTTAATTTCCTTCCCATTATAAAACAAATCCTTCTCTGAGATAATTAAATTATTGTCATAGATCAGTCTTTCCCAACCTGGTGCCCACCAGATACTGTGGTCTACAACCCCAGCCAATATGGCAGTCTTCTTTTTCACCTGGCGATGTATGCAAACCCTGGTCGTTCCCCCTATGAAATCATCAATAACTTGCCTGAATTATTTGCAGTGAAGCAGTAGGACCGGAGGAGGTACACACCATATGCTGGGGCGACATAGAGGTTGATATGCTTGAAGTGCAAGAGGACGGCAAAGAGAAAAGCCCCTTCCAAGTGCCTTTTCTGAAAGGGAGTGTGGGGCAACAGGGAAGAGAAAGGTCAGGCGGTTGTTTGAAGGAACAAAGAATCCAAAGCCTACATAAACAGAATGCACACTTAAGAGCTGCTTGAGACGTCTAGAATAGGAATTGGGCATGGCCGCCTCTTAATACACTACCTGGAATAGCCGTGCAATGGAAAGCAGCATGAATCCAAACAGAAAGCCATTGTACTGAAAATGAATGTCTGTGATTGAGTTAAGGACTAACGTCCACTTCAGAAAGATGCCCTAACCCAGGAAACTTTAGTGCTTCAATTCAACTTACATGTTGAATGACCAGTTGTAATTCTTACCAGTAGCAAATTTAGCAGTTCCAATTCTCATTAGAATTTGATAGGTATCTCCCCACTCCCCCCAAACCCATCAAATGTTGATGTTTGGTTTAGGTTATCTGCCCAGATTTCTTTTGACACTTGAGTTGGAAGGATACGGTCCACAATTAAGAGGCCAAAATTCCATAAGAGGAGAACTGAAAGGACAAGCTGAGGGTTCTCCAGAGGTTCCTTTGTACTTCGCTTCCCATTTACACGTCTACAGCACCTGAGCAGAGGAGAAATAAACAGACAAGACAAAATCCAAATCCCTTTGTTCTTCCATACACATTTCTTAAAGATCAGGTGCAGTTTATAGGTTATGTTAATACTGTTTTCTCCTCCAAACAGGTTTTGTTTTTTTTAAAAAAAACTCCATCTATTCCATCTAAAATACTCCATCTATTCTACTCTTCAACACATTTACTGATTTCAACAAGAGGCAGGCTGAGTGATTTCTTTCCAGATTCCAGTGGCTTATCTTCCCTTCTCCCAAAACACAAAACATAAAGACTTCTTATTTAAAAACAATAAAGGGGCACCAACATACTCGCGAACTGCGTAGATGAAGAGCACATCTGTGAAGATGACCGAAAGCCTTTGGAAAAGAATGGTTGGGTAGCTGGAATAGTTGAGGTTCTGGATGACCAGCATCTCTTTGTCAAAGTATTTGGCAACATGTGAAAGCCCGTACTCAAACCATGCAAAGAAGGGAGGGTAGTCCAAGGTCCACTCGGAAGTTGCCTGTAAACATGGGAAAATAACGCAAGTGAGAAGGCAGGTGTCAATCACTGGATGACCTTAAACTATAAGCTAGTTCACATATGCACATTCAACGCCTGGCAAGTGCAACATCAAGTGATCTCTCGTTTCGTGAACAGCCCATCACAAATCAAATGCTTTGCAGTCATTAGGGTGGCTTTTAAAGAAAATGTGCAAAGGGGAACGATCTGGATCAGTTGGCTGTTCTAAACCAGACAGAGACCTTCACTTTTACTCTAGGAAGCCTGGAAGAACAGGCAAAAGACATTTCAATTGCCTGCACTGGAGGTCCATTCAGCTTCCAGTAACAAGGAAGGAATATCTGACAGCAGCCTTTAATCATCTGCAAAACTCCACAAGCTGCTGCACCTCACTGTTCTAAGAACCAAGCACACTTCTGGAAAGGCAGAAAGACACACTTACCTCATAATACCACTGAGAGACTGGTAAGCTATGGGTGATGGCCAGCCAGTTCCTATGCACTTCAAAATCTGTGGAATGACTACAGGAAGTTAAATATTAGTATCTGGATCATACCACATAGCTTTCTACTTTGTAAAAGGCAAAAGATTTATATGATCTGCAGAGAAACCAGACCATTTCTACTTTGCATTTCCCAGTGCAATAGTAGGTAAATAAGAACCGATGAGGAACTCTCTGCTAGGTTTTTAACAAGAGACAAACTTTCAGCAATTGTGCTCATGCATTAACATGTATGTCTATGCATCTCTGTAGGTATCTGTGCATGATAGCATTCCTACAGTTAATTCTGTTTCCCAATTTCATGAGAAATTACCTCTGCCACATTTTAAATATATGTTCCGGCAATTTAATTATCACCACATCTATAACTCACATTCCCATTTATATGCATGGGTAAATGTACACAACAAAAGGTAAGGGGGATTTTCAGAGCGGCACTTGGTGGGCTCACAGAGCAAACCGACAAAAAAGTGGACTGGGCTCATACACCATTAACACGGAATCATGGAAAGTTATGTAGAAGAGGACATTTTGATCCCTGGATGTCAGGGGAAGCTGCAATTGCCAAAATTTGCAACATGGAGAGAGACAATGGAGTGCATCTCTGGGGGTGAAGTCAAACTGCTGCATTAGCGGCACCGAAGTTGCCTCCCAGGGGTACAAGCCTGGGCAGTATGTAGAGGTCCTGAGCTGCTCAGATGACAACACATACCCCTCTCGGCTGGGCTGCAAGAGTTGCCAAAAGGAGGCATGCAAGGCGCCCATCCAACTGTCTTAGGGATTGCACTCCAGATTTGTGTCAGGATTATGCCTTAGCCCTTTCATCTCCCGAATATATCCAGCAAGGCAGCAGAGGTTTAGGATCTTTTCCTTCTCCTACTTGGGCTACCTTCCCAGGTTGATGAGCCCCATCTGCCCCTCACTTCTCTCTACAGCACATGCAGAAACTGCCTTCTGGGCCGTTGGACCCACTATTAGTATCATCTGCTCAATACATTGGGGCTAATCCTTGCATGGAGAGGAACTACACCTGTAAATATCAGCTGCTGGGAACTGCAAGTGGGGAAGAGTGCTGTTGTGCTCATGGCCAGTTTCAGGGCTTTCCAACAGCATCTGTTTGGCTGCTATGAGAACAAAAAGCTGGAATACAGGAGACTTTGGTCTGACCTTGTGGGGTTTTCAAACGTACTTAATGTACAATTGGGCGAAAGCAGCCAATCATAACAGCCTTCACTATGTGAGCTGATGTTTTCTTTTTCTTTCTTTTTTGTTAAACTTGCTATTTGATAAACTTTCCTTCTCCTCCTGCGATGAGGCTACATTTTAATATTTTAATGTTCCATTATTTTAATGTTGTATTTTATTTTTGTTTTTAAGTTGTAATCATTCATCTTGTTTTTATTATTGCTTGTAAGCCGCTCTGAGCCCGGCCTTGGCTGGGGAGGGCGGGGTATAAATAAAAATTATTATTATTATTATTATTATTATAAAACATAATTGCACTGATTACCAAAATATGCTCCGTGAAAATCTTGTTCTTAGTCTGACCACATGCTGCAATAGTCAACAGTAGAATTGGTGTCCATTTCCCCAGACACAGCAACATACTTTAGTGCTTTGACAAAACCTGCATCTCCTGCATTATTAAGCCTAATGGGCATTTACTGGAATTGATGCAGTGCTTTTTTCCATTTTATCACCTGGAAGCCCAGAGGGCTAACTAATATTCCTCCTCTTCAGTTAGAGCTGTATCCAGTCCCTCATGTTCTTCATACACTTGGTATTACTGCACTTCTGAGTTTTACTCCACTACTAACTAGGGTATAATTTATTGAAGATAGATAATCTGAAGGGGTCTCCAGCAGAGAATTAGAATAAAGATAGATAGATAGATAGATAGATAGATAGAAACGGGGAAAGAACAAAGGCCAGGGAAGAAACAAAGGCATTGAAAGAATGCTATTATTTTAATCACACATACTTTGGGTTAAGGTAGGGATACCTAACATGGTACCCACTAAATGTTTCATGAACATAAGAAAAGCCTGTTGGATCAGGCCCATCTAGTCCAGCATCTGATTCTCACAGTGCCCAAGCAGATGCCTGCAGAAAACCTATTAAGCAGGACGCAGGTACAAAAGCACCTTCCCCTCTTGTGACATCCAGCAATTGGTATTCAGAAGCCATTTACTGCCTCCCCAACTGTGGAGGCAGAGCATGGCCATCGTGGCTGGTAGCCACTGATAGGCATATGCTCTATGAATTTGTCTAAACCTCTATTAAAGTAATCCAAGTTGGTGGCCCATCCCTGCCTTTTGGTCTATAACTCTTTGCCTCGAGGGATAGCTCAGCTGGTAGAGCATGAGACTCAGAATCTAAGGATTGTGGGTTTGAGCCCCATGTTGGGTGAAAGATTCCTGCACTGCAGGGAACTGGCCTAGATGATCCTCATGGTCCCTTACAGCTCTATAATTCTGTGATTATAGAACTCTCATTTGTCCCAGACAGCATGAGTTCACCATGTTGGCCATTCCTGCAATAAGGTGTAGGGAATGGGGTGTGATCCAAAGAAAAAAAGAGAGTTTTGAGGAAAACGTTTTCCACCCAAGGGCAACATGTCAAGTAGAACGGGTTCTCTATATGCTTGATTGCAAGCAAGCCAAAGCATACCTGATCGAAACAATTCCATATTCCTCCCGCCTACCTATGTCTCGAATTCCCTCCCCTTCCTGTGTGACTGTCTGGTGTCCATTTTATATTGCAATCCCCTCAGGGCAGAGACTTGTCAAACCTGTTCTTTGTAAGGCACCACGTTCACATGGGACTGCACTGCTTGTTGTGCAATTCACACATATGTCTCCTAACCTTACACTTACTGGAGCTTTGCTTATGAAATGTATATTTTGTTATCATTTAAAAGCTGCAGCGTAAGTTCTACAGAGTGACTCTCAGGTTTCCCACCCTCTGTTTTTGACATTACAGGAGGGTTGCAAGAATTAGGAATAACATTAACAATACAGTGGTACCTTGGGTTAAGAACTTAATTCGTTCTGGAAGTCCATTCTTAACCTGAAACTGTTCTTAACCTGAGGTACCACTTTAGCTAATGGGGCCTCCCGCTGTCGCCACACGATTTCTGTTCTCACCCTGAAGCAAAATTCTTAACCCAAGGTACTATTTCTGGGTTAGTGGAGTCTGTAACCTTAAACGTATGTAACCCGAGGTACCACTGTGGCCTACTGGATCTAGTCCAGCATCCTGTTCTCACAGTGGTCAACTAGATGCCTGAGAAACCAGCGAACAGGATTCGAACGCAAGTCCAACTCCCCCTTCCTGCGGTTTCCTGCAACTGGCATTTGGAAGCATTACTGCCTCCAGCTGTGGAGGTACCGCACAGCTGGCTAGTAGCCCTCTCCTCTTCCTTGACTTTGTCTAATCCTCTTTTAAATCTGTCTAGGGTGGTGGCCATTGCTGCCTCCTGGGGGAGCAAGTCCCATAGTTTGTCTATGTGCTGCGTGAAGAATCACTTTCTTTCCTCTGTCCTGAATAATAATAATTCATTTATATGCTTGCCGCCCATCTGACTGGGTTTCCCCAGGGACTCTGGGAGGCTTCCAACAAATTACAGCGGTACCTTGGGTTAAGTACTTAATTCGTTCCGGAGGTCCGTTCTTAACCTAAAACTGTTCTTAACCTGAAACTGTTCTTAATCTGAAGCACCACTTTAGCTAATGGGGCCTCCTGCTGCTGCCGCACCGCCGGAGCACGATTTCTGTTCTCATCCTGAAGCAAAGTTCTTAACCTGAAGCACTATTTCTGGGTTAGCGGCGTCTGTAACCTGAAGCGTATGTAACCCGAGGTACCACTGTACAGTAAAACACAGGTAAGACATCAAACATTAAAAACTTCTCCATACACCATACAACAGCCCATGAGGCCCTTAATCTCAGGGTCGTAGCTTCCAGCCCCACCTTGGGCAAAAGTTCCCTGCATTGCAGGGGGTTGGGCTGGATGACCCCTGGGGGTCCCTTCCTACTCTGCAGTTATTCCACGATTAAGAGAGGCGATGGGGGAGGGAACATTCCTCTGCCCACCTTCTCCGTGCCACCCATTCATTTCATTAGATGCCAGTTATGGAGCGCGGTTTCTCAAGCGCGTGGGCCTCTGGCAGCTTTTGGACTACAACTCCCATCATCCCTAGCGAGCAGAACCAGCGGTCGGGGATGATGGGAGTTGTAGTCCCAAAACTGCCAGAGGCCCAAAGTCTGGAGAACGCTGCTGTAGAGGGAAGCCCTGCAACGTGGAACCCAAGGCAGACTCGGAGAGAGACAGAGAGGGACCAGGCAGCAGGAGGGCGGAGAGGCCCCTGCGAGGAACAGCCGCGTCCATCATGGCGGCGCCGGAAGCCCCCTCGCGCCCGCCCCTTCCCCGCCAGAAGAATGTGAGGGGAAATAATAACGAATCCGGGCTCCTTACTACGTAGGGATGAGGAGCAGCTTGAGCAGCGTGACCCCGAAGGCCAGAGCCGCGAACCAGCCGCCTCCGCTCGCCGCCATGACGGCCCGCTTGCCTCCGCCAGCGCCTCAGAGGGCCGGCGGGCACTGCGCATGCGTGGGGGGAGGCGAGCCGTTGCCGCGCCGCAACGGTTTCAGCCGCCTTCGCAGCATCCAGGCGCCTGCGCGGGAGGGCGGGAAAAATACTGCGCCTGCGCGGTGGCTTTACTCGCGGCGTCCTGGCTCGCCCTTCGCCCCCTGCAGGCGGGAGTGTGTCAATGCAGCCGCCTCGACGCAGGCGGGGTTTCAATGCGGTTTGCAAACCGATTCTTTGCTTGTTATGTGCAGTTGGTTCCAAGCCTAGAGCCTCCAGAATTCAGTGGAGCTTATTTCTGGCAGACTGTGAGAGGGTTGCAGGCTTCTAAATGTGCAGTAGTCCCAAGTCTAAATCCTGACCCTGTAGAATTTATTGGGCTGTTTTTATTCTGATTATATGTGTGTGTGTGTATATATATATATATGTTTTTATGTTGATCTAGTATGTGAACCATCCAGGTATAGGTATAGGTAAAGGTCCAGTTAAGTTCAGTTGCAGACGACTCTGGGGTTGTGGCGCTCCTCTTGCTTTACAGGCTAAGGGAGCCGGCGTTTGCCTGCAGACAGTTTTTCCGGGTCATGTAGCCAGCATGACTTCTGGCACAATGGAACACTGAAACCAGAGCAGTGCATGGAAATGCCGTTTACCTTCCCGCTGGAGTGGTACCTATTTATCAACTTGCACTTTCTGGCGTGCTTTTGAACTGTTAGGTTGGCAGGAGTAGGGACCGAGCAACGGGAGCTCACCCTGTCGCGGGCATTTGAACCGCTGACCTTCTGATCAGCGATCCCAAGAGGCTCAGTGTCTGGGTATAGGGTGGTACAGTCATACCTTGTTTTGCAACTGGGATGCGTTCCAGAGCCCCGGCCGCTAGCCGAAAAGGATGCAGGAAAAAGCACCGCGTCTGTGCACACGCGGAGCGCTTTGCGCTTCTGCACATGCGCAAGTGGCAAACCCAGAAGTAACACGTTCTGGTACTTTCGGGTTTGCCGCGGACGTTCGCTGGAACGGATGCTTGACGAGGTGGACATTCGTGGAGGTATTACTGTATATAAATTCACTATTTATATAAATATATAAATTGCACTATTGTATGCCCAGATAATATTCCAATTGTCTGATTCCACCCTTTATCCAAACATCATAGGGCTGTTTACAGTTAGTGTTGCAGGCACTGCATTCGGAACTAACTTCAGTTTTCTGGAGACTCTCCAAAGACAGACCCATATGTACAATTTATTACTGTCATCTATCCTAGATGTCAGTTTAATGGAAAGGCAATGTTGTTCAACACGATAACAATGCGCCCCGCCCCGATGCATAGAAAACCAAAGTCTATCTGTAACGGGCCGCCATGCCAGTCTCTGTGTCTGAAAAATGCTCTTTAACAAATTTCATCGCCCTTTTAGTCAATGGGGGCCATGCAACTTGGGGGTGGGGTGAGGACAGAGGTCATGCTCCATTTTCTACTTTTGTCATGCAATAACTACCTGTGGGATATTGCGATCCGTCATAAACCAAGCCCGGACAAACATGCGGAATTCTCAGAGGCGTGTTTCTAAAGTTAACAAGCAGATTTATTATAAACATCTGTTAAACCCAATATGCTTTTAGAGAGAGTCCCAAAGACCCTGTAACTCTGCAATAAGATGTCTTTACAGGATCTGTCATGGAGTTTGGCATTTATTGCAGAACTGAACGCCATTCGTAATAATCCCCCAACAGAGCATCGAGTGTCAACATCTAAGGACACCTTTCAAAGGGTCACTTTGGCATCCCGATGAAGCAGATTTCAAAGTCACCCTCTACCTGGCTCTGAATTCTTTCCAAGAAGTGGTGAACTGAAATCTCAAAAGAGTTTTTACAGGACCAGTTTCTGTGCACAAAAAAGTCAGATGTTTTTACAATGATTGCAACCAATTTCCTACAGACATCTTTGGTCCATCCTGAGGCAAGCTCCCTCTATCCTGACTGCCCACTCTGCTGTTATACCATTGGCCAGGGGACCAAGATCACTGTTGGACTATGACTACAGCCCCAGGAAGTATGGCTGATAGCCAGGGATGATGGGAGTTGTAGTCCAACAACAAGAGTAGGGTACCATGCTATTATTATTAAATGTTTTCATATATGCTGGAAGCCGCCCAATAAGATGGATGGGGTACAAATAAATTATTATTATTATTATTATTATTATTATTATTATTAGCTACCACTACTGGCATCAGTTGCATGCCTTCCATAGGCACCCATTCCCTAGAAACACACCCTGCTTTTATTAATTGCTTTCGTGCATTTTAGTCGCTATGGCTTTAAAACAATCTGCTGCTCTGTTGCTTCTACTGCTTTCCATTATGAAATATATTTATTTTTTCGTTAAGCCCTCCGGAGACTTTTGCAAAAGTTGGGCAGTAAATCCCTAACAGCGCCCTCCTACGCACGTTTATTCGGAAGTTAAGTCCCTGCTGTGTTCAGTGGGCTCACTCCCAGATAAGTGTGAGTGGGATTGCCGCCTCAAATGAATAAATAATAGAATTGCAGAGTTGGGAGGGACACCGAGGGTCATCCAGTCCAACCCCCTGCAATGCAGGAATACAATCAACTCCAAATGAAGCATGTGGCTAGTGAGCTATGTTCTCTTTGGGGGTGAGGGTGTCACAAGTTGTGCAGGCCTGATCTAAACCTAGGCCCCTTCATGCTTTTTTCTTTTTGCTCTGAGGAGAATCCCTGTCCGTCCGTGTCCAACACCCTTTCTCAATCTGACTACTGCAATGCGCTCTACGTGGGGCTACCTTTGAAGGTGACCCAGAAACTACAACTAATCCAGAATGTGGCAGCTAGACTGGTGACTGGGGGCGGCCGCCGAGACCACATAACACCGGTCTTGAAAGACCTACATTGGCTCCCAGTACGTTTCTGAGCACAATTCAAAGTGTTGGTGCTGACCTTGAAAGCCCTAAACGGCCTCAGCCCAGTATACCTGAAGGAGCATCTCCACCCCCAACGTTCAGCCCGGACACTGAGGTCCAGCTCCGAGGGCCTTCTGGCGGTTCCCTCACTGCGAGAAGTGAAGTTACAGGGAACCAGGCAGAGGGCCTTTTCGGTAGCGACATCTGCCTTGGGGAACGCCCTCCCATCAGATCTCAAGGAAATAAACAACTGTCTGTCTTTTAGAAGACATCTGAAGGCAGCCCTGTTTAGGGAAGCTTTTAATGTCTGATGTTTTATTGTGTTTTAAATATTTTGTTGGGAGCTGCTCAGAGTGTCTAGGGTACATGGGCAGATGGGCAGTGTATAAGTAATAAATTATTATTATTACGAGTGCTGGGGTAACCAGCTGCAAAATGCTCCCTTTGCTGGCTGGTTCCGGAAAGGGTGGAAGGCGATATCATGACCCCAAGCCACATAGCTCAGCCCTGAGCCATGTAGCTCTTAATCTCAGGGTTATGGGTTCGAGCCCCACAGTTGGGGGGTGGACTAGATGACCCACATAGTCCCTTCCAACTCTGCAATTCTATGATTCCATGATCTTGCATTTGTCTAGTGCCTGTTAGCTGCACTCTCCACATAGATGCTAGGCAGTTTTCAGATGCTTCCTTTCTCCTTTGGAACAAACAGGGTCATAGGAAGCTGGTGTTTTACCAAGGCCATTTGTTTCCCTAGCGCGGTATCATCCACACATACCAGCAGTGGCACTTCAGTTGGGGATATTCCCAGTCCTATCTGCAGATGCTGGGGACTGAACCTGGAACCTTTTGCATGCAGAACCTTCTACCTATAGCAGCCAGCTAGCAGAGACAGATACCCCCTACTAGCCTAGTACCATGAAGCCATGCTCCATTTTGTACCACAGGCAAAAGCCCCAAATACCCCGGAGGCCGCCTCTTCAGACCGTTTGAATCTTACAACTGGCCAATCACATTAAAGGAAACGGCGACAGCATGGAAGCAAACTGCTGCGCTGGGGAAACTTGGGCAATTTCATATCTACGTGCCAAAGACGTTATGATGTGACCGAGGAGGGAATCAAATCCAATGGCTATCATGCCCTGCTCAGGTCAGAAAGTCTCTCTCGCCCCGAATCCTCCAGCTCTTGCACAAACACAGACATCCTTAACCGCCTTTAGCCGCTCGGCTGCCCTTTATAGTAAGTTAAGATTGCACAAGTCTCTTCCCAGTGGGAAAAATGAGGCAGAGAGGTTAAAATGATGAGTCACCCGTCATTAAACAAAATGTGGGATCTCTTCACAACTCCCAGTCTCTGTGTAAACAGTTCAATATTGCTATTTTGCCCTGTCAACCCCACAGATAAGGGATGAACAGCTTCATTCTGGCATCGTGCCGTTTGGGAAACAGATTTATCCATCAACATTCCCCCTCCCTCGCCCTTTCTGCCTCTTCCTCGCCGGGCACAATATAGCATCGAACATGCAAGGGGGGCAAAGAAGGGCAGTACATAATGCCCCCGGTGCTGATGTCATTGCCGGTGCCCACAGGAAGAGACTGTCCCTTCCCGATGATGCATCTTAGAAGAAAGGCAATTGGTTGACACGGAACCAGAGATCTTCCTCAGTCCCTGCTACCACCTGGCCCACAAACCAATCTGTCACACATCCCTAATCTGGAGTTTCGACATACACTGTATAGTCTGTTAAGCAGAAAACTAGCTTCGTAATTCAGGTTATTAGCGCACGATTCGTGAAGCGGGCTCAAAGAGGTAAACCCGTGTCCAGACACGAACCTCAGCGCATCGTTGCTATGTGTAGCGGAACGGGGGGTGAAGAGGCCCCGCCTACTTGTACCGTATTAGCCGGATAATTTTATTGTTCATAAAATCAGAGGCGTGTGGGTGAGAGGAGTCGACGCAGAAGCCATCGCTCATGGCGATTTTCAGTACCTCCTCTACAAACACCTGGAAACTGTTGATCTGCTTCTTGGCCGGCAGGACCCACAACCTCTTTAAGTTCTGCCTGGTGTACTCCTCTTCCGGCAGCCCTTCCACGCTGGCAACCCAATCCAAGGTCACGTGGTAGGGATCCTGCAGGTAGCTGGAGATCGAGGACAGGTTGCCGTTGAAACAGTAGTAGAGTTTGGAGCCCAGAAGTTTGAGGAACAAACTGGAGGTGCTGAAGATGTGAGCGTTGAACACTTCCATGTTGGAAGAGGACAAGCTGTAGATCTGGGGAGCTTCCCGGACGGTGAAGTGAACCGTCTGAGTCCTCTGGTCCAAGCTGATGTTGAGCATGGCGTTCTTCTCCGCCCTAGAGAGCTCCACCTCCTTCTCCTGCAGGGCCTCGATCAGCGGCTGGACCTGGTAGAAATCTGCTTCTCGGCGGAGCAGGCCCATTTCTTGGAAGTCCTCTGGGAGGTCCAGGTGGGAGGTTCTCAGGAAGTTGAGGATGTAGCGGAAAACCTTGCCGTCCCGGTCGATGAAGCAGTTGCCTTGGCTGTCCCTCTTGGTTGGCAGGTTCCCGCTGAACATAGCACCCAGCATGGAGTCTGGGAAGCTGGTTAAGGTGGACAGCGATGTTGTGTACAGCTTCCCACCAACATTTAGCGTTATAGGCTCTGACATGGTGGGAGGAAGGGATGTCCGGAGCAGATCTGGGATGGAAGGAATGAGCATCAGACATTAGCATATGCATCATTTAGGGGTGGGTTTTGTTTTTTTTTTGGAAGGGGGAGAAACTTGAGTGCATTAATATTCTTCCATTTACCTCCCTCTTCAACCCTCTTCTGGTGGAACAGGAGAGGTAAAGGAACAGGAGGAGGAGGAGGAGGTGTGAAAGCCCTTGATTCTCCACCAGAAGGACCCATCCCTCTCGTCCTCCTGGACCTGCTCCTCACTCTCCAACCCTCCAGCTGATCCTGCCTGACTCTTGTCTCCTGGCTGTTATGTCTCCCCCAGATCCCTTCTTCCTTCAGCTTCTAACCCCCTTTCCCCCAGTGCCCCACTCCTCAGTTTGCCTAGCCACCACTCCTCAGTCTCCAGCCAGTCCCTGACAGTATCAGCAGGAAGTCTTCTCCTGCAGAGCACAATAGCCGGTTGGGCATCTAAGGGGTGAAATGATCTTTTGAGAGCCAGTGTGGTGTGGTAGTTAAGAGCGGTGGACTCGTAATCTGGTGAACCGGGTTCGCTTCCCCGCTCCTCCACATGCAGCTGCTGGGTGACTTTGGGCCAGTCACACTTCTCTGAAGTCTCTCAGCCTCACTTACCACACAGAGTGTTTGTTGTGGGGGAGGAAGGGAAAGGAGAACGTTAGCCGCTTTGAGACTCCTTAGGGTAGTGATAAAGCGGGATATCAAATCCAAACTCTTCTTCATATTTTGGAAGCTGATTAGGGCTTTGCACACCTGTAGTAGCACCTGTTGTCTTTGTCCATGGCGTTTGTCCAGTGACAAACCTAGACAGCATCTTAAAAAGCAAAGACATCACCTTGCCAACAAAGGTCTGTATAGTTAAAGCTATGGTTTTCCCAGTAGTGATGTATGGAAGTGAGAGCAGGACCATAAAGAAGGCTGATCGCCAAAGAATGGATGCTTTTGAATTATGGTGCTGGAGGAGACTCTTGAGAGTCCTATGGACTGCAAGAAGATCAAATCTATCCATTCTGAAGGAAATCAGCCCTGAGTGCTCACTGGAAGGACAGATTGTGAAGCTGAGGCTCCAATACTTTGGCCACCTCATGAGAAGAGAAGACTCCCTGGAAAAGACCCTGATGTTGGGAAAGATGGAGGGCACAAGGAGAAGGGGATGACAGAGGATGAGATGGTTGGACAGTGTTCTCGAAGCTACCAGCATGAGTTTGACCAAACTGCGGGAGGCAGTGGAAGACAGGAGTGCCTGGCGTGCTCTGGTCCATGGGGTCATGAAGAGTCAGACACGACTAAACAACAACTAGCACCTAGAAGGCTGTATTATAGAATCATAGAGTTGGGAATCTCAGCTAAAGAATCCAGGACAGATGCCCATCCAACCTCTGCTTAAAAACCTCCCAAGGAGGGAGACCGTTCCACTGTCAAACAACCTGAGGACCCACTTTCTAGGTGTTTGGTTCCCACGTGTAAGATCGTAACTGCAACTTTCAGCGTCGGCTTGCAAGTGAGAACAAAACTGCCACAGGTATAACTTCTACGTCTCCAGAAAACAACACTTTTCAGCATAGCTACTTTGCACGTTCAGTTGCCACCAGGCTTCCAACTTCTGAGTAACGCAGTGAAGAGGAAATCAGCTGATGGTATGAATCTGTGTGAATGAGTTCTTGGGTACAGGGAAATGGAGACCTGTAGTAACTGGTCTTCAGCCTTGAATGCCAGTTTGCCTCAAAGTCAATGACAATTTCCCCGTTGGAAATCTCAGGGCTGTAAATTCAAGAAGCTGCATGCAAGTCCACCTCTAGGTCTTCTGCCGAGGCCAGATGCCATTTGGAGACAAGGTACCTTTACAACGTCTGCTAATTTATTAATCGGCACAAAGCCAGCGTAGTTAGAAAGTCACACTAGGACTTGGGAGACCTGGGTTCAAATCCTCACTCACAGGGTTATCGTGAGGATGAAACAGAGGAATGAAAACCACGTATGCCGCCTTGAGCTCTTGTGGGGTATACATGTCAGGAAGAAAGGAAGAGAAACTTGCTAACGAAACTCCCATCACGCCTTCCTGGCTGAGGCTGATGGGTGTTGGAGTACAACGACAATCTGAGGACCCTACTTAGGAGCCTTGGTTCTCAAACACCAAAAACCAGGAAGTAAGTGATCCGGTTTTCTAACGTTTTTCGAAAGCCGAACGTCCGATGCGGCTGTCGGCTATTGTTTCAGGGGCGGCTGCACCAATCAGAAGCTGCACCTTGGTTTTTAAACATTTCAGAAGTCCAACAAAGTTCCGGAACGGATTAAGTTTGGAGCTTTTGTTTTTGCTATGTATTCTGTGTTTTTGAGGCTTTTCAGTTAATTTGTTTTTGTGACTGTGTGGAACCCAGTTCAGCTACTGATTGATTGATTGTGCAACTGTGGAAATGGATAAAAGCCCCCCATCCAAACAACGACTATCATCAGTGCAGGTAAGAAATTTTTTTTTAAATTTTTTTATCTACAATACTGACTTATTTATTTTATAGTACAGCACATTGATTATTGC